TAAATTTTATGCTTGTTGTGTAAATTTTATTGTTATTAATGCGGTGAATTGGAGTATTGTGGACAGAATTTTATTGGTAAGTTTTATGTTGTTCATTTTCATGTTCATTTTCTGGAAAATGAACCAAACACCAAAAGACAATTTTCCATTGTGGAGCCAAACACCAGAAAGGAAAATGTTTTCTGGAAAATGACTCATTTTCCAGAAAACATTTTCCTACTTTCCAAACGGACCCTAAATAATAATTTAGTAGCTTAAACAAAAAATAATACATGTGCATTTCTTTAATTTAGAATTATGTGTCTACAATGTCTTTATTCAAAAAAAAAAAAAAATTCATTATCAATAAATTAAATAAGAGAAATAATTTCATTAGTTATATTGTATTTATTTTTCTCCAATATAAAAATTCTTTACATTCAAATTCATCAATTTATTATATTTGCTACATTGCCCCTACAATGTTTTTATTAAAAAAAAAATTATTCATTATCAATAAATTAATTAACAGAAATAATTTTATTAGTTATATTGTCTTTATATTTCTCCAATGTAAAAATTGTTTACATTCAAATTCATCAATTGATTATATTCATTACATTGTTTATTGTCTTTTTTTGTGCACTATTTTTTAATTAAATATCGAAGTTATAATACAAAACAATACTATATATTTATTTACCAAGTATTTTATTAATACCATGAAAAAATTAAAAAATATAATTAATAAAGCCAATCATATTAACTACTTGAGGGATTTGTTGACAAAGAGAGTATTCAAATTACACAACAAATTGAAGTGATAACTACCTCGCAATGTCTTTGTTTGACAATCCGCAGTTAGCGGTTAGCGTTAGCGGATTATATTAACGAATTTGACCAGCAAATTATATCAAGAGTTGGTAAAAAAGATATTTGAAAAAATCAATTGTTTAGATTAACATGTAAAACGACCTAAGGGTATACATAATAATAATAATAATAATAATAATAATAATAATAATAATAATAATAATAATAATAATAATAAAAAGTAAATACTCAAAATGGTCCCTCGACTATAGCTAAATTCACAAATTGGTCCTCGACTTTCAATTTCAACCAATTAAGTCCTTAACTTTGTAATTTTGACACGATTTGGTCCTTCATCTATTTGACCATTTGTTGGCTGTGATTTTTGAGCATATATATGTAATTTCATGGTCCATCGTCGGTTTTTTAAGGTTCCGGTTGCATTTCCAGACCGCACTGTTACATTTGAATCCACTGTCGAAAGCAATCTACCAAATTCGGTCGTCTTTCTTCATCCTTCCTTTGGATTCAATGTAGTTGAGTTCGTACCAAAGCGAAGAAGACGGCGTGTTTCCGAACCAGTGCAACATCATCCTGGAGGCCTCCACGTGCTCCGACGAGAGCTGAAGGTTCTTCTGGAGATCGTCGATCACGGTCAACAAACGGTCAAATAGATGGAGGACCAAATCATGTCAAAATTGCAAAGTTAAGGACTTAAGGTGCGTGGTTTCTGTGCTTAAGGTGCGTGATTTCTGTACTTAAGGTGCGTCAGTCTAAAACTTTAGGTGCGTCTTTTCATAGCTTAACTGAGGATACGGCTTTAAAAAAAAAAATTCATTGATTTGAACTGTTAATCTAAATTTGATCAACAGCTCAGATCTCACCCCATCTCTCACTTGAGATATCCTTCACACCAGAACAAGCCCCTATATGACCTGCCTAGTATTGGCACATGCATGACATTTTTTTACACTAACTTACGGGATGAGAATGTGACTCAATAGCCATATATATAATTGCATAAATTGAGGATAAAATATAAAAATAGCTCAAAAGACAAAATCAATAAACTCTTATCTCGCATGTTATTAATAACTTTATTAATGCAAGAAGGCTTGTTAAAATTAGTTCATCATCATCATTCATCCACCATCTCCTATACCAACCCCCAATTTTGACTTGGGTAGAAACTTGAATTTCCTACCTAGATTTCAAATGAGCCCATGGATTATACCAAAAACCATTGGGCGCCTACTCTTCAACCTCCATCCTATATATATATATATAAGCCTCCCTCCATTCTCCATCATAAGTCCTCATAAAGCTAGCAAGCTTTGATTTTCATCTCATTAACATGGCTACACTTCTTAGCAAGTCCATTTTTGGTACCATTCTTGCAATTGCAATTGCACTCCTTTCATGCAACACCTTACTATCATTACTTCTCCCTTTGCTTCTCCTAATTGTCCACCTCTTTCGGTCCTCCAAGCCCCTGTCCAATCTACCACCGGGCCCACGCACGGTCCCCGTGTTCGGCAACTGGCTCCAAGTGGGCAATGACTTGAACCATAGGATGCTGGCAGACATGTCACGCACTTATGGCCCACTCTTTTTTCTCAAACTCGGCTCGAAAAACCTAGTCGTAGTGTCGAACCCTGAGCTAGCAACCCAAGTGTTGCACGCGCAGGGGGTGGAGTTCGGGTCACGGCCACGCAACGTGGTGTTCGACATCTTCACCGGGAACGGTCAGGACATGGTGTTCACCGTCTACGGGGAGCACTGGAGAAGAATGCGGCGGATCATGACGCTCCCATTCTTCACCAACAAAGTTGTTCACCAGCACAGTGGGATGTGGGAGAATGAGATGGAGTTGGTGGTCCATGATTTGAGAAAGGATGAGAGAGTGAGAGATGAAGGGTTGGTGATCAGAAAACGGCTGCAGTTGATGCTGTACAACATCATGTACCGCATGATGTTCGACGCCAAATTTGAGTCCCAAGATGATCCCTTGTTCATTCAGGCAACTAGGTTCAACTCCGAGAGAAGCAGATTGGCTCAGAGCTTTGAGTACAACTATGGCGATTTCATCCCTCTGCTTAGGCCATTTCTAAGAGGTTATCTTAACAAGTGTAGAGACTTGCAGAAAAGGAGATTGGCATTTTTCAACAATTACTTTGTTGAACGGAGAAGGTACGTAATTATAATTTTTTGGAATAAGGGTTAAATATGCCACTGAACTTAACACCAAACTGCAATTAAGTTATCAAACTCAAAAAAAATACAATTACGTCTTAATTAAACTACACAAATTCATGCAATTAGATCCAAAATGATCTGTTTACCTGATACTTTGTTGACCTGAAGAGACCTTCGTCTCCTGCCATGGAGACGAAGGACGGCCAGAGACAATTTGTCTCCGGTTGTTCTTTTTTAAAAAAAAAAAATTAATTTTAATTTTAATTAATTATTTTATTTAAAATTATTTTTAAAAAATCCGCAACCTACATGTTACGTAAACAGACCATTTTAGACTTAATTGAATGAATTTGTATAGTTCAGGGACCCAATTGCATTTTATTTGAGTTCGATGGCCTAATTGTAATTTGGTGTGCAGTTCAGTGGCCTATTTGACCCTTATTTCTAATTTTTTTTAGTATTATTATATGTGAATCTGACTTAGCTAGCTAGCTAGGATGCTAATTCAAAATGATTTATATAGGAAAATAATGGGTGCAAATGGGGAAAACCACAAGATATGCTGTGCAATAGACCACATAATAGATGCAGAAATGAAGGGAGAAATCAGTGAACAAAATGTGTTGTACATTGTGGAGAACATCAATGTTGCAGCAATAGAGACAACTCTATGGTCCATGGAGTGGGCCATAGCTGAGTTGGTCAACCATCCCACCGTCCAACAAAAGATCAGAGATGAAATCTCAGCCGTCCTTAAAGGGGGAGCAGTCACAGAGTCTAACCTGCATGAGTTGCCATACCTACAAGCCACAATCAATGAAACCTTAAGGTTACACACACCAATACCTTTGCTAGTACCTCATATGAACCTTGAGGAGGCTAAGCTGGGTGGTTTCACCATTCCTAAGGAGACAAAAGTGGTTGTGAATGCATGGTGGCTGGCTAACAACCCTGCATGGTGGAACAATCCAACCGAGTTTCGGCCAGAGCGGTTTATGGAGGAAGAAGGTGGCATTGAGGCTGCAGTTGCCGGCGGCAAAGTTGATTTCCGGTACTTGCCGTTTGGCATGGGGAGGCGGAGCTGCCCCGGGATCATCCTCGCCATGCCGATTCTCGGGCTCCTCATTGCCAAGCTCGTCACCAATTTCGAGATGAAGCCTCCTTGTGGAGATGAAAAGATTGACACAAGTGAGAAAGGAGGACAGTTCAGTCTGCACATTGCAAAACATTCCACTGTTGTCTTTAAACCTATTGCAAAATCTGATTCATGATGGTCCTGCTGCATTTCAACTACTACACCTTTTGATTGTTCATTTTATGTACGATAGCACCATACAATCCATCAATAAAATTCCACTGTTTTTGCAAGAAATTATTACCCATTCTGATTTCCTAACTGCATGAGGCATACCATGCCATTTGTTATCTTCTCTACAAAATCAAAAACTCACTATTGCCAAACAGATTTTCTGATTAACTATTTTTAAAAAGAATAAAGGGTTAAACAAACTCTCAAACTTATTCAAAACAGTTAATTACCAAAATAGTCCCTTGATTATAACAAAATTACTGATTCAATCCTTGACTATTTTTTTTACCAATTAAATCCTCAACTTTAAAAATCTTAACCAATTTAGTCCTCCGTTTATTTTGCCGTACTTTAAAAATCTTAACCAATTTGGTCCTCCATTTATTTTGCCGTTAGACATTCGTTAACTCAGTACCAAATTGATAATTTTACCTATAGTCAAGGAACCATTTCAATCATAACATGCACCATTTTCTCCAAAAAGTTAATTACTAAAATGATCCCTTATTATAGCAAAATTACCAATTTAATCCCGAGTTAACAGATGTCATCAAATTGTTTAAGATTTTTAAAATTGAGGGACTTAATCGGTCAAAAAAACAGTCAATGACCAAATTGATAATTTCGTTATAGTCAATGGACCATAACGGTAATTAACTCTATCCGAAAAACACAACCACACCATTGAATTGAAAGAAAAAAATGTTTAAATAAAAAAAAAAAATCTTTCAGCCAAAAATTTTACAATTAATTAAAAATCATTGAATTCCTTGAGCAAAGAGAAAACTATGGAGTCCGTATATCGTAACACTATAGCAACAAATATTCTCTTTGGTTGTTCCTACAACATACTTGCATGTCAGCATGTATACAAAAATGAGGTTAGACTAGAGAGAGGAGAAGAAAGAGAAATCAGTAGAAGCATGCATCTTACATATCAACCAATGAAAAACCACATGCTAACATGCTATCTGAATACACAAACCTCATTTCCTAGGTAAGGTAATGTCACTCTCCCAGCAGACAGGAAAAATCAGCTTCCACATTTGCTACTTCAGAGGTACAAAGAATTTGCAAACATAATTCCTCGTCTTAGGCTTTCACTGGCTGCGGTGAACTTGTTCTCCAAACCAACTTCTCCTACTGCGTGGGCAGCAGCCTTCAACTGCACAACCCAGGAAGATGTTTTCAGATATTCATATCGTTAAACAAGTTGGTCTCAGGCAGGTCACCAAACTCATGTAGTTGTATTTGAAGGAAATTCAACACAATTTAACAATACTTTGAGGTTACCTGGTTCAGAAATTCATCAAGCCTTCTAACTAGCCGTATTATGCTGCCTTCAAAGACATCAGTCATTTGTATAACCTCTGCAAACGATGCTCCCTGAGATACAATCACAAGACATGTAACTAGAGTAATACCCTTGTGATGCATGAAGCAATACATGTTTGATTCTACTTTGCAATATTTCAGATTGGTTCTACATGATATGCGCTCAGACCCGTGCAATTCGAGAACCCGTATGTTTTACTTTTTTTCTAAATGTATATAAAATAACTATGTACAACCTAAAACTTGATATTTTGGCATATGGCTGGTTTGACTTTACAACATATCAGCTTGGTTTCACTTTCTCTTTTTCAAGGTAGACATGATAAAGATGATTATTTTTCATGATCATTTTATTTGTTTAGAATGGGGATAAAAGAGAATTTAATCCAACAGCATCCATAAACAGCCTAAAGAATTTGATTAGCCGACAGTAAACTGCAATGCATCATTCAGTGTGTTTGAGATGTGTATCCCAACTAATGGCATCACAAGTAATGCACAATCACAAACCACACTTGGCATGAAGGATTATTAACTCACCTTTGACCAACAATAAATAACATCCATCAAATATGGTCGAACAGAAGCCTCCACATATTCATCCACGTTTACTTCCAACTTGCATTCATGTTGGATCTGCAATCACAAAGAAGCCTCTTATTAATGTTCACACTGTGGTAATCAAGAAATGGAGTATTTTGTCCCTAATCCAACAGACCTCTGCTATTCTTCTTGCACTCTCTTGTAGCTGTTGTAATGGTTTAGCAAGTTCAGCTCTTAACTGAATCTGTTCATTTGACCTGTCCCCTGGGATGAAGCAACTTGCCAGAGCCGCAATTTGATGGTCGTCAAGATCATTGAAAGTACCTGATCAGAGAAATTATTCAGAACTGTAGTACCAGTTGTTGATCAACCATTTTCAGTTTCCCTCAAATACATGGTAAAAGTTTGCTAGAGAATACAGTAATACTGGCAAACATTTTATTATGATGGGCCTAACAATCCAGTGTACAGATATAGCATAAAAAGTATGAAAAGCTCATATAATCATGCAACCTGTACATGGTTCATCAAGTTTACAAGACAAAACCAGGGCATCAAGCCTATAATAGATATGTTATCTAGTCAAAACACATACTCCATATAACATATGGTCATAAACTCATAAATACAAATGTTAAGCGTGCACAAAAAAAATAGATCCCAGGAATCACGGGTGCAAATAATACATCCAAAAAAAAAAAAAAAAACTTCCAATGCCCCAGCTTAAAAAATTGCAGGCACTAAAGAGATCACCTCCCTTTCACATGCACCTAGAATATATAGAAGTATATTGCAGTCACCAGGCTTCAGCTAGAGAGAGAAAAAGTATATTACCATTAAACATTAGTTCAGTAACAAGGAGTTCATCTCCTGTGTCTATCAAGCATGCTGCTCTTCCTTTCAATTGGACAACACCATCAGCATCAATATGACCCAGTTTTTTCAGTACCCGGGAGCGATTTTTAAGTTCATCCCTAAATTTTTGAAGCTGAAATTTTGAAAAAAATAAATAAATTTGCAAGTAAAATGGAGTATTCAAAACTCATAATATTGCTGAAAACTCAAGCAGATGGAGATCAGTAGGAACGTGGGAATAATGAGATTGAAAACACACTTAATATGACTATTCATCAATAGCTAGGCACAAAGCCATTCAAAATACCATCACTCTAGATGTGCATAAGGGAAATTACTTCCTTGATTATCAACTGAAAAAACTAATGGAATATTAAAATATTCATATGATAATGCTTCATTGAGCACTGAGGCAAAGAGTTGCCTTCAGGAACTTTTTAACCCAGTGATAAACTCTTCCATGGAAAAGCTTATTTCAGTTTTTATCCCATTTTATCTACTGGATAGAGTTGTTGGGCAGAAACTAAACATTAGAGAAGACAGCCTGCTAGGAAATAAATAGAGCTAATGAAGAGATTAGAAAACCTTCACCAAAATTATTCTTTAAGGGGACGCAAAAACAATAACCTATATAAGGTTTAGTAGATAACTTATTATACAACAGAATTGGATCAGATGAGGCAGCCTCCCCCGTGCGGACGTGTGGAAGGATCTGGATCATTGGATGAGCTCAGATCAACAGATGAAAATCAATAAAAATGAGAAAAACGCGGTGGCACTTTTGTAATTTTTTTCACCAAGTATATTTTTGTGGTGTACTAAGTGCTGCTCCGTGGTTCACTTAAGTGCTGGTCTGTGGTGCACTATGTGCCAGTCTGTTGTGCACCACCAAATGCTAGTCTGTGGTGCACTTAAGTGTTGGTATGTGGTGCACACAAGAATGCTTGACGGTGCATTGGGCTCAAAGCACCATCAAGAATATCTAAATGCACCACCAAGCATATCTAAATGCACCAACATATCATTGAAATTGCCAAAATGCGACCGCGTTTTTTCCCCTATTTATTGTTTCCAACCGTTAATCTAAGCTTATCCAATGGTCCAGATCTGTCCGCACAAAACCAGGCCCTATATGTGTGTGTGTGTGTGTATATAATTTTAGACCAAACCTATATTAGTATATAATTTAAATTGTCTGTATACTTAGTTTAAACTTTTGGACTAATGATTTGATTTTGAATATCTTAATATTAAATTAGCTTGTGTGTGAACTACACCCCGTATGTTGGCCCCTGCTTTTGGAAGGAAACGGTACAAAGGATAAAATGGGTTTAACCCCTAGCAACATACATGTCATGTCTGTGCATGTAACAAGAATAAGATACATATACCCTTACATTAACAAGGGTGAATATTGAAACAGAAGCAAAGAGTGTCACCATACAAGCAAAAGGTATAAAAGGAAACAGCATTAGGATGGTGTATGTGCAGATTTACTAATAAAGCACAATAAATAGAGTAAAGAACTTCCCACATGAGATATCTACCTGTGAATCACGCATTTTTGACTTGAGCTGTTGAATTTCATGGTTAACCTCAGCCTTCCTCTGGAAAGACTTAAGCTGATGCTCATCTTGTGACTGCAAAGCATTTATCCATCAGTGAACACCAAACAAAAGGGGCAGTAAGTTGAACAGTTTTAGGAGCGGTTGGACAAGTGCTAAAAAAAAATGTTTCTTTACTGCCTAACTTGGAAAGAAAAATGGATTATCATTTGTATTTTGTAGAACCTTGTGCAAAGGGTGAGCAAACAACTTTTTCTCCAGTTCCTCTATTTGGCTCATCATATCAACAAATTCAGGATCTTCTATGCCCATGTCCTGAAAAGCGAAACCAAACATAAGGATAGCTCTTCCACTTTCCTCAGATGCACAGACACTGATATTCCATAGACCAACTATTTAAGTCTCTAGGGTTCAAGAATAGTGTAAAGCATTAAGAATATCCTACAACAGAGTAAAGCAAAAAACTTTCAACATCACATAAATTATACTCCGTAAATGCTTTAAAACAAATTCATCAACTTATATTAATATAATGAATAACAAAACCTACCTTCACAGGATTAAGCTTAGGGAGGCCTTGAGGAAAACGTTTTTCAAGCTCCTGTACAGCAAGCAGGATGCTTTGCCTTGCTTCAAGCGGCCGGAGATCAGGAGGAACAGATATTCTCAGTTTGCTGAGTGCAGATATCAGAGGCAGTTGAACAGGAACCTGACAATTGAAATAGTTTGTTTACCCAGCACATTGGCTCAAAAATACAAGAAATGCTACATGTATTCAATGAATTCTGCAACTGCAGTACTGTACAACTTTTTTCTTTCCTGTACTATCTAACGTACTTACGTACCACATGCATTTCACCCTTTTCTCCAGGAATGGGAAGACATGGTTTGGGTCGAGAACCATTTTCACTGGAGCCAAGGGAACAGTGGAGTAATGTATCCACGATATAGGTACTACCACGCGAAGCAGAAAGTGCAGCAGGCAAAGAACCTGATGCTGTTGGGGGCTTTTTAACCACATTGACAACCACCCCCCAACCCCAATCCTTTCCGCCCTCCCGAACCTTAACCTGCAATCAAAGTGATAACCATGAACCTTAAGGACCTTAAAACAACTTGTAAGTTAGCAAGTTAAAAACTAACCTAACACGGCCAGCTTGTTTTAGCTTTAGAGAAGAGTAAAAGCAGACAAGTCCATTCTGCCTTACTTGGACATGGACAAGGAATTGCAAAATAGAAAACAAATTCTCAAACAAAGCAGGCCACAACAGTTCAGGAAAAGACTGAGCCAATACACACATATATATACACATGGATTTTTTCTTCAACTCGTACATCAAATCTTCTAGAGGTGTTGAAATCCAAATCTGTTCTATCAAAATATCCAGTGAAGGACATGTGTGGCCTCCCCCCCCCCCCCCCCCCCCCCCGCCCAACGGTCCTACCCAAAGCTCTATTCTAGAAGACAACAGAATTGAGAAAGAATTGTCTCCTTAATCACATATATATGCTTAGATTATACTAACTCCCCAACCCCACATTTTCCACTGGAATTTTGTCATATGAATAGAAACAAGCACCAAAAACTGAGGAAAATACATTGCAGTACCAGAAGAGCTAAAGAAAGATGTAACAATGGCACATGTAAAATGCAATGTGCAAAAAACAAGAGAGAAACTGGGATACATTGTGCAGCAATGAAAAACATATATAGATGACTAGATGTTGAGTTTGATCAACAACTATGAGAACTTCCTTTCAATGACTCCATCTATGCATTGTTTCACTGGTATTGCTATGATAATGATAAAAATATCTAGTTAACAAATAATTCATAAATGGCATCACTTAGTAATGGAGAAAATTAATATACCATTTGAGTCACAGAAAAGGAAATTTTACAAACAATAAGCAGACACTAAGTGATTAAATCTAAGCAGAATCGAGTCAGTAAAATGCAGAACTATTGAGTATACATGGCCCTTCCACTCACCAGTCTACCAGGCAGTAGGAAATAGAGAACCCTTTCAGGTCGTGTTATTTCAGCCATCATTTTCTTTTCAAGTTGTGATATCTCAAGCTTTAGCTTATGATATTCAGCTACTTCAGCCTGCAAATGGTAAAAAGCAAATTTCAGGACCAAAATATTTAAAAGATGTTTTCAAATAGAACAAGAATTACCTCCCCTGAGGCATCAAGCATAGCAGCTTCTTGTTCTAGCTTGGAAACCTTTTTCCCTATATCAGGTAAGGCCTAAAGAAGCAAGAAACCACATCAGTACAAACCATAGCATAGATACAGAAAATTGTTCCTCAAGGAATTACCTTCTCATACTGGAACTGGTGAAAAGAGTTCTTGATAACATGCTCGGCAGTAAATTGGCCTTCAGCACGACTCATTAAATTCAAAATTGTGTAGTAACTAAGCCTAAATGTGCTGAGCAGTGGTGCTGGTTTCCCCAAAACCATATCCTTGAGAGTATTCATCTCCATCTGAAATCAAAATATTTTAAAACAATAATCCATCAAACTTGTTGGAGAGAATTATTCATACCTGAATTAGTTTTCTTAAAGTACATATACAATAAGATTTTTATGATTTAAACACTACTTGCTAGCTTTTGAGTTTTGTGCATGTTTTATACCAGTTTAGACTTATAAGCTGTGTACTTAAACCTAGGCTTATCGTGGTTAAACTTCAGTGCACTTGGGGGTCAAATGATCCAAATAAGAGCCCATATAAATCAAGTTCACACCAATTTTCTGATTCACACCAATGGCGGGTGGTGTTATTCTCCACCCGCCAGACCATTCCATCTTCCAAATTCAACAGTATACATTATATACTCTTTAAATTAATAAGGATTAATTTCACTAAATCAACATGTAATTAGCATTTAGTTTCACTTACCTGTGTTTATTATATAGACATGACACTAAGCCAAATTTATAGTCACTGCATTAAATGACTATTTTCCTGTGGACAAAATCAAGTGGCTGTTCTGACAGTTGATGTGAAGAGGTGGTTAAGAGAATTCCTTTCCTTTTGTATTGGATATTATGCTACAACCTGAAGCTCGATTTATCTGCCACAGATAATCTTTTCAAAAAATTAATTCTGGAACCCTGTAATTGGTATGTGTCCAGATGTATCTTCCCAAATTCAGACTGATGCTTTTGTTATTCTCTCATTTCCCCTATAGTTTGGAGATTATAACTAAGGGCACTTTGAAATTGAAAAACATGACCAACAATTTGCTACAGATCCATAATGCAAGTACTGTAATATACTTTTTCTAAATACTTTGCATCTGTTCCATTGCTAATATGTCACCAACAAGCTTTTCTTTTGAATTAGCAATATTTATTAAGAGTTAAACCAACCAAGGACAAAAAACAGTCAGCAGAAGAAATGGCAAGTGTGTTGGGATTTCCAGTTTTCGCAGCAAGTGAAAAATTACATCTCCCCTAATTACCCATTACTTTAGGTCATTAAAAGGGTAAAACATTCATTCAATTATAACTAACCTTAACTTTGACTACTGATCAGTGTAGCCCATATTATACTAAAAAGCAATTACAGGAGGGAGAAGTGACACTAAACCCCAATCGTAGGTGGATTTAGTAAAATTAACCCTAACGTCTCCACCCCCAAAACCTAAACGCCAGCAGAGAAAAAGTCATCAACAGCTCAGGCAATTTCAATGAGTCACTAACCATCTTTGGATTTTACACCACCTCAGAATTCAAGAATTGGCCTAGAGCAGAGAAAAGAGAAGCCTGAATTCACTTTCTCAGCAGAATGTAGTGCACTTGGAAGACAGAGTTGGTGGTAGCAGTGACTTCTGCTGCTACTACAAAGAAGGAGGAACTGTAGCCAATGAAGAAAAGAGAAGAAGGGAGGTCTTGTTTACCCAGCAACATTTTTCCTTCTTAGGTTCTTACTTTATCCCTGACCCCCCCCCCCCCCCCCCCCCCCAAAAAAAAAAAACAAACAAACCCACTCCCTAATCCCCTATGTCGAGACAATAGTACAATTGGGTCCAAGTCCTAATGTTACCTATTGAGCAGGTTACTTTTGATTTGGCACCGACTCCACAGAGTAAGCGTCCATGTGTCCACATGTACTATTTTTAAAATGTGGTGATGTGGTGATGAATTGGGTAACTTTTTAAAAAATTAAAATAATAATAAAGACAACCTGGTGACGGAAACAGCCATCACCCCTGATCTGGGACAAAATCAATGAAGACAGTTACTGGACCATCTTCATCCAGCACTAAAATAGTCGGACAAAGAGTCCGGTGACTCTTTTGGACAGCATCTCCCTATGAACTTGAAACAGCCATGGCTGTCCAATTTTCATATGTTTTTGAACTTTTTTTGACAAACATGGTTGTCCTTTATAAAAACTGGGGAAGAGCTGTCCTCATATTGGCTGTCTCTGTCAAGCATTTTTTTTAAAATTTTATTTAAGGTTATCCAATTCATCTTTCTTCAAATCATCGCCACATTTGAAAAATAGTTCATGTGGACGCTTAGTTAGCGCTAGCTGAATAGGCAACATTAAGAACCAATTGCACTATTTTGCCAGTTTAGGATACCTTGTTAGAGAAGATGAATTGGATAACCTTAAACAAAAATTTTTTAAAATGCTTGGACGCTTTGTTAGCGCCAGCTGAATAGGAAACATTAGGACCCAATTGCACTACTTTGATGGTTTAGGGTACCTCATTAGAGCTTTTTTTAGTTAGGGGACCCAAATTGCACTATTCACTTGACTAAGGGGACAAATTTGGCACTTCTACTTATTTCTATGGTTATCCCCATATTTAAAACAATAGAGCATGCATCTAAGGAGGAATGAGAATTGAACTTGTGACCTCTTACCTAGAGTCACTAGATGAGGCCATTAGATTACTATGTTTATCCCCATATTGGTGACTGACTTCTGTTCAGAATTTAAAACCATTAATGGTGTCCAACTTATGATAAATATGACAGGGAAATTTAGTGTATAAAACATAAACTTGGGCTAGTTTACAAGTGCAGAATGCAGATGCCAAGGGCCAAAAATGTAACAGCATGCAAGAGTATATTGGTTAGTAAACTTAAGACATAAGATGGCTTAGTTTAGTGTAGAACTAAAAACTATGGAGTAAAAGTGGATTTAATTATCACAGCAACAGTTTCTAAACAAAGTTATAGAATACCTGCTCATCAATCATTATGATACAAATACCACGCTCATCTTTGCCACGGCGTCCAGCTCTTCCACTCATCTACCAAAAAAAAAACAATTTTTCTATAAAATAAAAGCCAACCAACTGCAAGCTCTCTGCTAGAATTGTAAGACAAACAGACTTACCTGGATATACTCACCAGATCCAACGTATCGATGACTATCACCATCCCATTTTTTGACACTAGTAAAAACTACAGTTTTTGCAGGCATATTCAATCCCATTGCAAACTATAATATAGAAGACCAAAGTAAAATGGTTTCTGTTAAGTGTAAGTGTAAGTACACAAAAAATTCTAAATCTCGTTGTTTTATGTATTTATCACTACCGTCTCAGTGGCAAATAGAGCCTTAACAAGTCCTTCTTGGAACAGAAGTTCTACAAGTTCCTTGATAATAGGAAGCAGGCCAGAATGGTGCACAGCAATCCCACGTTGAAGCAGGGGCAGCATAAGTTCAATGGCAGGTAGGTTTCTATCTTCCTCACTCAAGCAGAGCACTGCACTCCGGAATACATTTTCAACATCAGCCTTCTCCTCTTGTGTATTGAAATCAAGTTTGGACATAGACATTGCATGCTGTTCACATTCTCTTCTACTAAAACTGAAAATTATGACTGGTTGAAATTTCCGTTCCATAATCATCTGCAAGTTAAGGAAGCTTTCAAGTTCAATGATATGAAATGATAAACATACTGGCATATTCAATCTTAATGAGAATGAGATAATAGACTAAATAAAGCAATGAATATAAGACAATCTTAGATAAAGTTATGCACCTTGACAATTTTGTATATGTCAGAGACACCAGAAGCATTCCCACCTCTTGCAATTCTGCCACTTGACTTGGCATTCATACTCTTGCTTCCATTTGCTGGATGCTGCTTGACGAAAGTATCCTGTACTTTCACAAAATTGTCCTCCCTAAACTTCTCAGTCTCATCAACTACAAGATACAATCCAGAACCGCCCACCGGAAACACATAATGCTGTAATGGGGTAGGGCGGAAATCGGTGTAAACCACATGGCATGGCTGCTTATGCAAATTACATATCCATTCAGCAAACTCAGTGGCATTTGACATCGTAGCAGAAAGAAAAACCATCTTAATAGCTGGCGGCAAGAAGATTATACTCTCTTCCCAAACAACGCCTCTCTCACGATCTTTCATGTAGTGAATTTCATCAAATATAACCCAAGCAACCTCCTTCAACACCTCAGAACCCCTATAGAGCATCCCTCTTAGGATCTCTGTGGTCATCACCAAACAGCTTGCATTTGGTGAAAGTGTAACATCACCTGTCATTAAACCAACATCAGAAAACTCTTGACTCAACTCTCTATATTTTTGATTGCTCAATGCTTTCAATGGTGAAGTATATATAACCCTTTGTTTGTCCCTAAATGCCATTGCAATAGCATACTCTGCAACTGCTGTCTTTCCAGCAGATGTATGTGCTGAGACCAAAACTGACTCATTCCGTTCCAAGCATGCGACAGAAACTTCTTGAAATGGATCAAGCTTAAATGGGTAGTTTTTTGCCATCTCTCCATTATAAACAGGATTCCCAAGAGTCCCATGAACAGATTCATCCTTACATGAGGAATACCCACTTGGAACTGCCACCTCATGCACACATGTTCGAGTCAAATTGCGCCTTTTCGGGGCTGATTCTTCCTTTGGAACTTCTGCACCAGTTGAACTTTCCTCTGCAGATTTCCTTTTAACCACTGTTGATGACAATTCTTCTGCTTTCACCTCCATGTGTTTTGCTTAAACCCTCAAGTTCAGAATTTTCTGTTTTCAATTTCACATATGAATACATCTTAATTGTAAAACCCTATCAAAACAAAAGTTTCTAGCGAAAAGTGATGCTCTATATCATTTGCAAAGTAGCATAAAATGGTATTCAATTTTCTATTGTAAGCCAATCACACACAAATTAGCTCTACACTATCAATCCCTAACATAATTAATAGTAGGGAAATTTCCACTTTTGATCCCTCAATTACTAAACATCCATCAATGTAGGACCTCTGTTTAATTTTTGCAAATATCATCCACCACTTATACTTCTCTCATCACTAAATTGCTCCTTCCACTAACAGACCAAACAGTAGCTATTAACAAATGTGGAGCTTGTGACGACTCCACACACTTATGGTTGAGGCTATTTTGGTCATTTCTCTCATCCCCTTCTATTTTCCCTCCTTTCTCCCATCACAGTCAACAATATCCCCCTTTCACTTAGACCCCCCCAAAAAAAGCCAAAGCCAAAGTAAAAGCATTAAACTGGTTGAAAGATGCTGTAAATACCATCTTCATTACTAACAACAATTGTAAACAGGTGAGGTAGGAGCATGAATAGTCAAATAGAAGCCAGTTTAGAAAACCGCTTCAGCTAGCAACAATGAAAAAAAAAATCTAAAATCACTTCGAATTTTCAAATATGCAACTCCTGCTCAGAGCCTCAGAAGGACAGAAGATATTATGCACAACTATAGAATACAAATTTAGGTAATCAGCCATTTCCATTCAATAAAAAATAAATAAATCAACCGGAAACAAAAATTAATGAAAACTTATGTAGTCTCCTGTCATACAAACGGAGACAGGATTGGCCTTTTTCCTTCTCAACAAAATGATAAATTATATGTAAACAAAGACAATAACAGTAGATTCTATTCAATTAAACTCGAAGCAGCAGAGTGATTGCAGTTTAAAAGCAAGAGCTATGTGATTCAGCCACGCCTAACTCAAAAGTTTACTCAAATATAATACTTTGTTTCTTTAAGCGTTATCCTTGCATTCACGAAGAATCGAAATGTTTGTATTCCTCAGAGAGCCAAGTAGTATAATTTGAATGCAAACATCATAGCTAAAAAACGAAAGAGCGTTAACAAACTCACCGTGAAAGGGAAACAAAGCCAATGCCAATCAACTACTACTGCCTCCACCAAGCTTATCTCTTCTTTAGGGTTTGCGTATAATAGAAAGGAGGAAAACGGCAGGAAGTGAAGGGGGAGGGGGAGAAATAGGGATTTGCAACGTCCGAAAAAAGGGAATACAGAAGGTGGGCGGGATGGCCATTTTATAGTAACCCAGAAACGTCGTCGTTCATTTTGCTATTACAGTAATAATACTCCCTCCAGGCTCCTGGCCTCCGCCCTATTTTATTTCTTTTTTTTTTTTCTTTTTCGTTTTTCCCCGCCTCCACCCCCATTTTGTTAGGGAAAAGACTAAAAGTTGACAAAAATATGATGATTTTGAAAGTTGGACTGAAATGGGAAAGGATTATTTGGGACATGCGTTTAAGGTAGAAACGTATGTTCCAAATGTATTTGTCAATTTTTCAAAAAATGTTGACCATAGACGCATTTCATGTATTATGTACATCACGCCTATACGTAAAAATTAGTAGTTACAACAACAAATGATACATATGTATTTCTTTAATTTAAAATTATGCGTATATAATATATTTATTTTTTAAAAAAAATATTTATTATCAATAAATTAAATAAGAGAAATAATCACATTAGTTATATTGTCTTTATTTTCTCCAATGCAAAGATCCTTTACATTTAAATTCATCAATTGATATTCATGGCAAATTATACCGTGCACCAGGACATACATAGCAATGTGCGTCCAGACACAAAACGCGCGTGTTTCTTGCTGACATCACTCGGTTCGTCCGAACAGACCAAATCTCATTATGTGTATTCAGTTAAAAGTTTATGTGTATTGTGTTCTGAGTTTATGTGTATTGAATTAAGAGTTTATGTGTATTATGTTAACCAAACCACATTATGTGTATTCAGTTAAAAGTTTATGTGTATTATGTTAGATTATGTGTATTCTGTTATGAGTTTATGTGCATTCGAAACATAGATTTTTTTTTTTAACAACTTAACAAAATGACGTCGTTTTGGGAGGCGCGGGGCGCACAGTGCTGTGTGCGCCCTGGTGCACGATATAACGATTGGATATTCATTATATTATCTGTTATTTTCTTTTTACACTATCCTGTAATTAAATATCAAATATATAATACAAAATAGAATGTTATATATTTATTTACCAATTATTTTATTAATACCATGAAAAAAAAATTAAAAATAGTTTGAAACCAATCATATTAACTACTTGGGGATTTGTTGACAGAGAGAATATTCAAATAACCTAACAAATTAAAGCGGGAAATTACATCGTAATATCTTTGGACTACATCATATTTAAAATGTTCAAATTTTTACTATATCTAATCTTATTCCTTACACTATGGGTTTCTTTGTCCACAATAATAGTTGAACCAAATGAACCCCGAGCAAAACACCTAAATGACTAATATGCTTTTTTGTTGATAATAATATGTAAATGTTAATTATATCATTATCTTACGTAGCTACATATAAAACTCATTATTAAAACTGCCAATGTAGGGCAATAAAACATCGTAACACACTTGATGCATTGAAAAAATGTCGAGACTACAACAATGCTGTAATCAATTTGGTAAACCTAGAAAATGGAGAAATGTCAAATTTGCCACCGTTGATTCATTCAATTATCATATATGTAAAATACTTATTGTGCATTCATTAAATATATTAGAACTAATATAAATTTACAATTCATTTCATCTTCTAAACCCAAGCTGCTTATATTACAGGAAAATCAACATCAACCTTCACAACAAAAATACTTGGTATGTAGGATGTAGTCACTATTTTAAAAAAATAATAATAATTTATGCACAGAGTGAAAAATAATTTAACTCAAATGTTAATATCAATTAAATAAAAACAAGCACAAAATCAAGTATTATACTCATTCCTACTAATTCAATAATTCTAAAAATATAAGAACTTGAAAATGAACATCTGCAAAATGGATGTGGACATTATTGATGAAATTATACATGTTACAGCATCAATACTCATACTACCTACATAGTTATAATTCTTACTATCAAATAAACAAGTTATTAAAATAGGATAAGAGGTACTACTCATTACCTTATACAAATATAATAAATATTAATATTTTATTCAATACTTTCACATGAAACATGTAGGGAACGAATGATCACTGCAAAATATCAACATACGCTTACAATATCAAGAGTTCATTGTACAACTAAGATTCTAGTCATATACACAACAAGGAAAATTCACATATTCCTAGTTCCTACATCATAATCTCATTGTATGACGTTGTCATCTATGCTACATTGCTACCAACAGTAACCCAATTGAAAATAACACACTACCAACAAAAAAAGAAGAGGACAAATAGTGAAGATTAAGACAATGTCAATGTTAGGGAACAAAGAATTAAGTATACTTAGAAAAATTCAAATCAAAAGTAGTATTTATTTAAACTATCGTTTTGACAAAGTATTTAGACTATCGATTTTATAAAGTTGCAAACATTTATTTTAATGACAATTATAATGAATTTTCTATATTATATTGCATTCATATACTTTGAGTTACATATTTAAATAAACAAATTCGACATTCAATTACTTATGTATTAACTTCTCTTATATAATATTGCATTAATATACTTTCAAATATTTATTTAAATATAAACATTGTGCATTAACTCATTCGTGCAATGCGCGTATAAAACTATATTTTTTTTTTAATTTTTTTTTTTAAGATTTGAAGGAAGGGGATACCCAAATATACAGTTTAATACATCTGTTAGTGCCAAACTGGGACGCTAATAGCGTCATTATCTACTGCTTCTAAAGCCACATCCGACGGTTGATTAAGCAATTGAGTACCTCTAGGTTTAGTAATGGCCAACCTTGCGAGAATGTCTGCAATCGAGTTTTGTTCTCGGGTGATATGATTTACTTGCCATTCGCTAAATCTGCCAAGATCATTTTTGCATGCCGCTAATATGTTGTCTAACGTGCTACCCACCCTTTTACCTCTTAAGTCATGCACATTGACGGGGGCGCTCCGTAGAGCGAACAACAATCTGCCTTCAAGTCTTTATAAACGCCCGACGACCATCCACTTCCATTGCATCATTTTTTTAAATTTTTTTTTGGAATAAGGGTCAAATAGGCCACTGAACAACACACAAGAATGTAATTGGGCCACTGAACCTAAAAAACCTACAATTGAGTCCCTAAACTAACCAATTTCATTCAATTTGTCCATTTTTCAGGTTTCTCAAGTTGCTAACAGGTTACCCCTCCACCTATGATGCATATGTGGCATTTAAAAAAAAAAATTTAAAATTAGTTTTTTTTTTAATGCTTAATAAATAAAAACTTAAATAATTTATTTTTAAATTACATTTTTTTAATGTTTAATAAATAAAAACTTAAATAATTTATTTTTTAAAAAAAATAAAATCCAAGCCATGTATGAGTCTTAACAAATTATTTTATTTTCAAAAAAAAAATTATTTTAGTTTTTATTTATTAAATATTAAAAAAAACTAACTTAAAAATAAATTATTTTTAAAAAAATGCCACATATGCATCCTAGGTGGAGGGGTAACTTGTTAGCAACTTGAGAAACTTGAAAAATGGACAAATTGAATGAAATTAGTTAGTTTAGTGACCCAATTGTAGGTTTTTTAAGTTCAGTGGCCTAATTGCATTCTCGTGTGCAGTTCAGTGGCCTATTTGACCCTTATTCTTTTTTTTTTTTTTTTTAAATAGAACTTTATTAATCCAAGGACAAGGCAAAATGCTCATACAGGTTCCAAGGGGAAGGTTAAGGCCCCACACGGCCAAAACCCACTAAAACTAAACAAGTAAAAAAGTAACAAATAAAGGCCAAAGGTTATAATCTAACAGGGTCGACTTATACTAGTATACAAACTGACTAGCACAGGCAATACATGGCCTAGTGACGATAACATAAGCAAAGCTATAGCCCAACACGTCCTGCAAGTAGCAAAGGCAGCAATTTCGCCACCATCTTGGCACGCCACCGTACCACCCCTTACAACGTTGCAATGCCGCGACTCTGCACCACAATGCAACCTAGTAGAGACGCTAGCGTAGCCGTAACACCTCACAACGCTTCCGTGCTATTGGCTGACCTGCAAATTCAATAAAAGAGGCACACAGGCCAACACTACGCCAAAGACCCACGAGGTAAGCGGATAGCTAGGTCTAAACATCACAAAGTTAAGAGATAACTAAATAAAGCAATGCCAACAGGCTTAATAAAAGTTCTCAACAAAGAAAAAGCGGTTCGCAGGCCAACCAGTAAACACAGGCCAGCCAATAGCACGTAACACCCACCACGGCACCAGCAACCAACAAGAAACCAGAACCCTAACGGGATTAGCTACTATGGGTCAGCAGCAAGCCTGGACTACCGCCAACGGATTTGATAAACCTCTACCCGGGCACCGTTCAGCCCGGGCCAGGATGCAATTTCTTACCGCTTGCACCAACGTTGAGGCCTGGTCTATTTTCAAAAAAACCCACAAGGGCGAAACCAAAAAAGCCTATAGACCAACAGCGCCTCCGAGGCCAAAGAAAACCTGCAAGAACGAGACATGGCAGAAGAACAAACGCCACATCCCATTTTCATAATAGCTCAATTCCATAAACAACAAGTATTTAGGCAGTGTATAAGGGAACATCAGGCAGACACGAACAAAAGAGCAATCCCCAACAAACAAACCCGCCCTCCTGGAGCCCAGAAGGGCCTCAACTACTATTGGCTAGTAGCAAGCCTGACCAGGTCAACGGATTTGACTAGTCCTGCCCGACCACCGTTCAACCCGAGCCAGGGCGCCTCTTGTACCGCTGGCACCTGCGTTGAGACTCAACCCCAACAAACCAGGACCTCTTCGTCTCCCAGTCCTCCTTACACTCTTAGATCTTTTGCCTCACTCTTCTTTGTCACTTTCCCTTCTCTCGTTTTTCTCTCTTTTTCCTCTTTTCCTTTTTTCTATTATTATTTTTTCTCTTTCTTCTTTTTTTTTTTTCATTTCCTTTTTCCGGTTTTTCTTTCTTCTTTTTCGTTTTTCTTTTCTTTTTTTGTTTTTTGTTTTTTCTTTTTCAAGCTAAAGCAAAATACAGAAACAAAAACAAATAGCTGCAAGCAAAGCCAAGAAAGAAAACTAAAATCACGGGGGATCCTCCACGTCAAAGAAAACATAGGGCACATCATCATGTGCAAGTAGGACGCGCACCCTAGAAGGCAGATCAGCAAAACATGAAAAAAGAGCCTCCCCCGGCCTGTCAACTACCCAGTCAGCTAAGGCCTGCGCAGGTAAGTTAGCCCTAGAAGGGCATAAACTGGCAGAGACAGACCCACATGAACACAGAAAACGGAACCTGGACACCAAATCATCAATAGCCCACGGCGGCCGGGTGGAAACATCAAGATAACTCCCCAACTCCGCCACCGTGGACTCCAGCCGAATCTCCCTAAAACCTCCAGCCAGGCACAACTCTAGACACGAGAACAATACCCGAAACAATCCTCGGATATGTTCCCCTTGCCCAGACCACGCCACCCCGTAGCAGAGTCCACCCCCTGGGTTATGCACCAAGGCTGCGGCCCCCCTACAGTTGCCGAAAGAGATAGATTAATCTTAAGCGCCCCAGCCGTAGGAGGGGTCCACCTGACCGTTTTGACTACCTGCCTCGGCACATGTGCCTCCAGATATGCAACGATCGTCCTCCAGTTTGAGGGCAGGATATGCTGCATAGGCCAATGCCAATGCCTAAACAAGCATTCTACGACCCTTTAGCCACCCCGAATATCACTCGCGCAACACTCGGGACACCCCGCCCATGCATACACCCATTACGGTGTTTCCACAGCTCCCACATCACCAAATAAGGCAACCTGTTAACAGCAAAAGAAAATAAAGGATTACACGTCCCTCCACGGCCCTAGCCAGCGACCAACGTCCTAAGACTCCGGTGCCGTGACTGCAGGCCAAGGGACGCCAAGATATAGCTCCAGACAGCTCCAGTTCCACTTGGTAATTAGTCCTGATGTCTGGTGGGTTATTCCGATCCTGTGCCTTTGTTCTCTCCATTATACGTCTCTTCTGTCTGTGGGTTGATAGTAGTCTTGCCTTTGTCCGCAAATAGTCGCGGTGGGCTGGTAAACCCTGTCTGTTGAGCTGATTCACCATACTGGTTATTCTGATTTTCTACCTGGCCGAGGGCTGCAAATCTTGAGTTATATGCATAAGGTATTCTAGAGTTTCTTCCGGGAACTTCATGAGATTTAGTTTTTTAAAACTAGTATTTTAATATGTTTGAATTGATTTTATTTATAAATAGTTTGTGATTAAAATATATAGCTGTTAACAAATTAGGAATTAGTATTTTCAATTATATTTTGACTAAATATACGAATAATTCAACTAGAAAATCATTAGGGCATTACTTATACGGAGTATGTATTTACAAGTATTTAATAAAAAATTTAATTATAAATCGTAAAAATTTGTTTTCAAAAGTCAACATAAACAAATATAATATGTTTCAAGCATTTTTTTTTAAATATTTATTATAAAATTGTGTTATTAACAATTTTAAAAATATCTAAGATATCACATTGAGTATACACTATAGTTAAATGTATTATTATTTGCAATACAAACTTCTTAAAGTAAATGTGAACATAATAACTTATTCATGGAAAAGAAAAGAAAAAACTAAAAATCAAAATTTATTCATAACGGATACCAATCATTTTGGAAAATGTATTATAATTTATAAATTTTGGAAAATAAATGCTACAAAAGTACTAAACAACAACAATAATATTATAACAATTCCAAATTTTGGAGAATTTTACATTTTTAGCATCATTTGGACAAAGAAGAACGGAGTCTTATTCTCATGTAACCGAACTTCCCAGCACCTGGCGAAGAACCTTCGAAAACATATGGCAAATACCCTGTCGCAGCTTTGTATCTCCTTTGAATCTACAAAAATCATAAAACCTTCTTAACAATACCCCTTATATCACTACAATAATATATAATAAACAAACACTGCATTGCTGAAATATCCTAATTTTAAACTAAAATTCTTTGCATTTGTGATGATTATGATTCAAAGAAAGGATGATAGAAAATCTACCTCAAACAGTTGTTCACTACTTCTCGTGCAGTTTCTCCCGATGATACATACAGTCCCCCCAGAACCACCACCAGTAATCTTTGCTCCAAACAAACTTGCATCACCAGATTTTGGTGATTTAAGGTGCTGCATTTCTTGGACCAATCCAACCAACCTATCTGTCCCGTCTGACCCTAGTCCACAAGCGCTGTAGCTGTAATGGCACTGTACATGCATGCGATAAGTCAGAGATACGATAATGTGGTACACACATACACTTTTTGAGCAAATGAGTATAAATACGTAGTAAAAAGCGAGGGACATGAGGTGTGAAGCAAGAATTGCTAGTCTATGGTCTAGGCGCTCATGCATTCTGGAGAACCTCGACTAAACAAGCACAGAAAACGAACGTTTGAGATTTATAAATAAATATACCTGATACATTAGCTGCCCAAGAGAGTAGAGTTGATGATCAGAATGTGCAGCAGACAATAATGCTTTAAAAGCCTGGACAGCAGTTAAAATTGCATTTACGTCTAGGTTAGCATTCTAGTAGGGTTACAATGTGAGTGTAGTTTAATCTATCTAAAATGGAATGGATGAGAATCATAAACTGGATGCCTTTACGTGTATACCTTTACTCTAAAATTCTCATAAACTGGATGCCTGGTGGGGGCTTGTACTGCATAACCGAGGTTTTCGTCAATTTTTGTGACAGAGTCATCATGATCAGCATACTTCTGAACAAACTCCTTCCCAGACACAGATTCTGGTAGTCTGCTTGCATAAGCAACTTCATATCTAGGATTGATAATGTGAATTTTGTGAGGAGTGTAAAAGCAAAACAGAATAGTAAAAAGAAACGCACACAACAAACCTATGAGGTGAGAGATTGCATAGGTAACCAAGAGAAGCCTCGGTTTCAAATAGTTTCCTGCTTCCGTCATCTAATTCATCAGAGTTAATATCGTCACCCTGCTCAGCAAAGTTGTTTGACATTGAGGAATGCAACCATTCAGACGCCATGGACTTAATCATCTTCCTACCCATGTATGTCCCTATTCTGACTGATTTGTAATCTCCACCACCAACACTGCAACGTACTATAATATATTATTATAAAGAATATAGATGAAATACTTGGTACAGTGCTCATTTCAGTGTGAAAAGACTGTGGGAACAGAACCAATGGATGACTAAAAAATAGCTGTAACAATTAACTACAGGAAATGAGTTGAGCTTCTCCCAATTCAGTGGTTGATAAAAGGAAGGGAAAGTAAAGGCATTAAGATGAAATTTGCATACACAAGAAAGAGAATTTTCAATCAGTTAAAGCTTTGCTATCAATAAGCATACAAAATGGCAAAGATTCTTAAAATATGACACTGTTTAGAATTGGTTCACCTGAGTTCGGGACTTCCGATAGGTAAAATCTTCATTTCTTCTATTTTCATAGGTAAGGTGTTGTAAATATTTTATAAAATGTTGCTTAATTAACTGAGGTCAAATTCTCTATCACTGAATGTTGTGAAATTAAAGGTGCAAGGTTGTCCCAATCTTAAAGAGTTGCTAGAAAAAAAAATTAACAATAGTATAAAGAAGGCATACCTATGTCGTATTCCAGAATCAATTCCCCAGAATCGGATATAGAGTGGAATTTCCACAAGTCCAAGTACCTCAGCAGGCTAAATGAAAGACAGAATCACATTGAATTTTGGATTTGATGTTGCATGTTACATTGAAAGTTTAGCATAAAACATGAAGCTTACCTGACACACCATCGCAAGAAGTTTGTTTTCTTCACCACATGCAGAAGCCATCTGATCCATAACTCCGCATGGAGCTCCAACAACATAGTTTTCTACCTAATGAATTTTAAAAATTGGATAACTCTTGACAACAATGTGATAATGAGGAGTTCTGATCTTAGACTGAATGCAAAATGGACAAGGTTTAAGAGAGACATGCCTTTTGGCAGAGCAAAGCAAGATCCCTTGGAGAAATTTCCAATCCTGCAAGCACAAGAAAAATCAGTACACTTCAAATAATATGACATGCAAGTTCATGATTGTGACAATCAATTTAGAGCCTAGCTAGGAAAACTCATGATCTTCCCAGGGTTGTGCCCCACTCTTGTAATTTTGTAAAATATGGAAAAAAAAAAAACAAGAAAGAAGAAAGAAAGCTTATTCCCAGAATTGAAAGTCATGAAAACCATATCCATCAAACCAATGAAAAAACAATTGTTTGTGATGAAATTTGACTACGCTAATACCAAAGACAGGAAGAGAAGAGGAGCCGGGGGGGAGGAGAAGCAGAAGAAAATAGTACCATGGGCAGCAGCGACAGCAGACATGCTGGCAACTTCAATAGACGCAGAAGATGATACACCTTTACCTTCAGGTACCCCAGAAGATATCTGTAATCATTTTATTAATTCCTGTCACTTATCTGGGGTAATAGTCAATGGAGATAGTTTCACTTGGACCACATGATAATAACTGAGTTGCTAAGGCCTGAGGACTTGCTGTCAAATGGGTTGATCACCACTGTGATCAATCCCAGGTGGGATGTGCTAATCTCTGTTTAGTTCCCCTAATCCCCTTTATTTAGGCGTGTTGTAATAAGTTATTGTTAAATATAATAAATATATCTTGATATTATTATGATTAAACACTTACCTTACTAGAAACTTATTCATTTTTAATGCCAACATAACAAGGAAGAATGGCATTCAAAGAGAGAATCGGAATCAAATTTTTTGAACTATTTACAATACTGTAAAGCAAAATGAAAGGCTTTGCTGTAATATATGAAACAATGGAGGGTCAAGTGCTAGTGCCTAGGCTCAGGGGTCCTTATTAAAATATCCCTTATCTTATCATCAAGGTGACTAAACTAAAGGAAACAAAACTCAAACCACATTGGACAAACCAAAGAATGCATGACAAAGAAGACAACAGATAGCAGATATATTCTTCAAATGCCACATGGGAAAGGTTTTCAAACAAATAAAACATAAAGTTAATAATTGAATCAGTCATGCTGCTAGACAGTTTAACATAAGTATCTATTAATAAATCCATAAATTAACTTATAAATGTGAAATTTGGAACCAAATATCATAAGTGACATTGAGAACGGAAGATTGTGTAACATTGTAGGATAACTAAAACTATTTATCCCCTCTCAAATAGCGAAGTGAGCCTCTCGTTCGACCGTCGAAAGTATGCTAAGTAATCGGTGGGATGGCTAGGAAAACAAGTAAGGCAAGAATATCGCAAAAGTACTTGAAAGCTTCAAAGGGAACTTAGATTACTTGAGCACTCGAACTTTGCTTGGATGGTTACAAATGAGGCCCCCTTAAGGGGTATTTATACCCATTCCACTCCTCAATGGACGGTGGAGATCGATTTGATCGTACGGCTAAGATTCATTCTCTAGAATCCTCCATACTTTTCTATACAACCAAGAGGATTTCACAATGTTCTAGAATATTCTAAAGCTCCCTACATCTTCTAGTGTTATGTACATGCTTCCAAACTATTCTACAAGCTAAGGGATGATATGTACAAGCTCTAGAAAATTCTAGAGTGGCGTGGCAAACCTCTGAATCTCGTACGAACACTGTCCGAGCGCTACATCCTCCCCCACCTAATTTGGCGGCGTCCTCGTCGCCTTGTATGCTTCCAAACTGTCTCGAAATTGCCACAAGTCTTCCTCCGGTTCCCATGATGCTTCGGACTCAGGCAATCCCTTCCATTTAATGAGGTAGTACGATTGAGGTGGAACTCCCCTTTTTCGAACTACCTTTGATGCAAGCACCTCGTCTATGTCTTGATCAAATGACTTCGTTACAATGAGTGGTGCTCTATGAGATATCCCTCGACTTGGGTCTTCCATGTCTTTGTGATACGGCTTTAGCATGCTCACATGGAAGACTGGATGAATTTTAAGGGAACTTGGTAGGTCAAGGCGATAAGAAACCTTACCTACCTTAGCGACAATCGGGAACGGCCCTTCGTATCTTCGAACTAGCCCTTTGTGTAAGCCTCGAAATGCCTTAAACTGTTGTGGCAAGAATATGACGAGGGCTAGATCTCCAACGGTGTACTCTTGCCGCATTCTCTTCTCGTCCGCCCATTTCTTCATGCGTTTGCGAGCCTTTTCCAAGCACAAGCGGGCTAGATCGGCTTGTTCCTCCCACACTTTGGCCATCCTAACCGCTCCCGGGCTTTGCGTATCTTGGAGTGAGGTGATCAAAGTGTGTGTAGTCAATGGTTGTTGTCCCATGACAATCTCGAACAGACTCCTCCCCATTGCCTCACTCCGCTGCAAGTTGTAAGAGAATTGGGCAATATCAAGCAACTTGGCCCAATCTCGTTGGTTAGCGCCCACGAAGTGCCGCAAATAGCACTCTAGTAGACCATTCACCCTTTCAGTTTGGGGGTGAAAGCTGGTAGAGAAGTTGAGCGCTGTACCTAAAATTTTGAATAACGTCCGCGCCACAACTTGCCGGTGAAACGGGGGTCCCTATCACTTATTATATTCCTCGGCAAGCCCCAATATTTCACCACATTCTTGAAGAATGGCCGTGCCGCCTCCTCCGTTGTGCATTCCTTGGTGCATGGAACGAATGTCCCATATTTGGAGAAACGATCGATGATCACCATAATGGACTCATACCCTTCGGATTTTGGTAAAGCTGTGATGAAGTCCATGGATATAGAGTCCCATGGCCTCTCGGGGATGGGTAAAGGCTCTAATAGGCCGGCGGATCGCTTGTTCTCTATCTTGTCTTGTTCGCACACAAGACAAGTCTTCACGTAAAGCTCCACAGTGTCGCGCATCCTCGGCAAAAAGTAAGTTGCTTCTACTAGTGCCATCGTACGCTTTTGACCGGGATGCCCCGCCCATTTAGTATTGTGGCATTCGTGAATGATGTCCCGTCGCAAGTTTCCCCACTTTGGGACGAAAATTCTTCGTCCCTCAGTGTAAAGTAGGTCGTCCTTGTTGAATTTGGAAGATGGAATGGCCTGGCGGGTGGAGAATAATACCACCCGCCAGTTAGGCGGAAGCAATATAAAGAATCAAGACTAGGAAATGAATATAAAACTGAAATTATATTGGTAGATTCTCTCTGTTTCTAATACAGAAACACAGTACATATATATACACAAATACATAACTGTAAGTAACTACCCATAACTGACACCTATTCATAAACAGACACAACCCTATAGATAAACCTAACCCTTTAGTTTTCAACACTCCCCCTCAAGCTGGAACATCTAGAAGTTCCAAGCTTGGATTAAAACATACACTCTACATTACAAATGAAGATTAAAAGCAGCTAGAGAATAACAGTGTTGGATGGCTTCGGAGGAACAATGCTATAAACAACCCTTGGGAATGAAGGCACCAGGGCGAAGCTTGTCACAAACAACCTTGGGAATGAAGTCACCAAGGGCGAAGATTAACACGAACACCCTCACAGCAACATAAGCATTCTAGGATTTGCCAATCAACAATCTCCATCAAGAACGGCAGAGCAACCAAATCATGAGCAGCAAAGGGGATGTAGTAGAGCCCATAGATTGTTGTATGAATACCGAGAAAACCACATGATTGTTGTTTATACCTCTTATAGGATAAGTGAATAACAAAAGAAGCTTCCGGAAATAAACAAGGTGCCAAACATGAAAACCCTAGGGACTAAGTATGGTATACCGAATATAAAGAAACAAATACGGTTATACCAAAAACACCCCGGAAAGAGGTTTGCCAACCAACCCAAAAAGCCTTCAAACTTCACCAAAAGGTCCAAGGGCAAAACAACAATCTGGAATTTTCAACGGAGAATACATCATAAGGAAAAATACAACTTTGATGTTTGAAATACCCTAGGAAAGTAGGCTCTGATACCATGTTGAATTTGGAAGATGGAATGGCCTGGCGGGTGGAGAATAATACCACCCGCCAGTTAGGCGGAAGCAATATAAAGAATCAAGACTAGGAAATGAATATAAAACTGAAATTATATTGGTAGATTCTCTCTGTTTCTAATACAGAAACACAGTACATATATATACACAAATACATAACTGTAAGTAACTACCCATAACTGACACCTATTCATAAACAGACACAACCCTATAGATAAACCTAACCCTTTAGTTTTCAACACTCCCCCTCAAGCTGGAACATCTAGAAGTTCCAAGCTTGGATTAAAACATGCACTCTACATTACAAATGAAGATTAAAAGCAGCTAGAGAATAATAGTGTTGGATGGCTTCGGAGGAACAATGCTATAAACAACCCTTGGGAATGAAGGCACCAGGGCGAAGCTTGTCACAAACAACCTTGGGAATGAAGTCACCAAGGGCGAAGATTAACACGAACACCCTCACAGCAACATAAGCATTCTAGGATTTGCCAATCAACAATCTCCATCAAGAACAGCAGAGCAACCAAATCATGAGCAGCAAAGGGGATGTAGTAGAGCCCATAGATTGTTGTATGAATACCGAGAAAACCACATGATTGTTGTTTATACCTCTTATAGGATAAGTGAATAACAAAAGAAGCTTCCGGAAATAAACAAGGTGCCAAACATGAAAACCCTAGGGACTAAGTATGGTATACCGAATATAAAGAAACAAATACGGTTATACCAAAAACACCCCGGAAAGAGGTTTGCCAACCAACCCAAAAAGCCTTCAAACTTCACCAAAAGGTCCAAGGGCAAAACAACAATCTGGAATTTTCAACGGAGAATACATCATAAGGAAAAATACAACTTTGATGTTTGAAATACCCTAGGAAAGTAGGCTCTGATACCATGTTGAATTTGGAAGATGGAATGGCCTGGCGGGTGGAGAATAATACCACCCGCCAGTTAGGCGGAAGCAATATAAAGAATCAAGACTAGGAAATGAATATAAAACTGAAATTATATTAGTAGATTCTCTCTGTTTCTAATACAGAAACACAGTACATATATATACACAAATACATAACTGTAAGTAACTACCCATAACCGACACCTATTCATAAACAGACACAACCCTATAGATAAACCTAACCCTTTAGTTTTCAACAGTCCTCTACCTAAAACCGTTGTGTCTTGCCGCATTGTAACTTCACCAATTCTTTCGCTATGGGGTCATGTTGAAGTCCCTCCTTGATTCGTTCAATCATGTCCCCCTTGGCTCGACTTATGGCTGCAAGCTCCGCCTTTCTACTCAATGCATCGGCCACGACGTTGGCCTTGCCGGGCTTGTACTCTAAAGAGTAATCAAACTCCGCAAGAAAATCTTGCCAACGTGCATGTTTTGGGGACAACTTCTTTTGCGTTTGGAAGTAACTTGTAGCCACATTGTCCGTTTTGATGGTGAAGTGGGCTCCAAGTAAGTAATGACACCATACTCTTAAGCAATGCACTACGGCTGTCATCTCATTTTCTTGCACCGTATAGCGTCGTTTGGCATCGTTCAATTTGCGGCTTTCAAATGCTATGGGGAGCATGTCTTGCATTAAAACTCCTCCAATAGCGAAATCAGACGCATCGGTGTGGACCTCAAAGGGTTTGCTAAAGCCGGGTAAGGCAAGGACGGGTTCTTGGCTTACCGCGACTTTTAAGTCCTCGAATGCCCTTTTGCAAGCGTCGGACCAATCCCACGTTTTCCCTTTCTTGAGAAGGTCCGTAAGCAATGCTGTCCTCTTTGAGTAGCCCTCAATGAACCATCGATAATAATTTACTAAGCCAAGGAACGATCGAAGTTCCGTTACCTTAGTTGGTGCTTCCCATTCAACGATCGCTTGGACCTTGGCTTGATCCATATTTAGCCTTCCATATCCAATGATATGCCCCAAGAAATGTACCTCCTTTGTGGCAAAGGTGCACTTTTCCCGCTTCACGTATAGTTTATTTTCTCGAATTACTTTGAAGACGGTCCGTAGATGCTCGGCATGTTCTTCGATCGAGTTGCTATAGACAACGATGTCGTCCAGGTACACCAGCACAAATTGATCCAAGTACGGCTGAAAGATCTTGTTCATCAGCGTGCAAAACGTCGCTAGCGCATTGGTTAATCTGAATGGCATGACCATCCATTTGAACGAACCATAGCGAGTGACGCATGCCGTCTTGGGCTCATCTCCTTCGGCGATTCGGACCTGGTAGTAGCCTTTTTGCAAGTCCATCTTCGTATAGATCTTGGTTCCTCCAAGTCGATCAAAGAGATCGGCAATCAATGGAATGGGATAGCGATTTTTAATTGTTACCTTGTTAAGTGCTCGGTAATCAACGCACATCCTCAACAACCCATCATGCTTCTTTTGAAATAGGACTGGTGCGCCGAAGGGTGCTTTCGACAGTCGTAACATGCCCCTGTCCAATAACTCATTGAGTTGTCGCCTTAATTCCTCAAGCTCACTGGGTGACATGCGATAGGGTGCCATAGCGGGTGGCTTGGCACCCGGCTCTAACTCGATTGCATGATCCACCTCCCTCCTTGGTGGAAGCTCCTTGGGCAGCTTCTCGGGCATCACGTCCTTATTTTCCTCAAGGACAACTTGAATCAATGGGGGAACGACCGAAGTCTCCTTACTTTCGTCGTCCATGTCAAGTACGGCTACAAATGTCGGCTCGCCCTTCTTGATCCCTTTCGTAACTTGCATTGCCGACAATTGACGTGCCTCGTTCGCCTTCTTCTCCGGCCCCTCTATGGTGGGGATCATGCATGGAGACCCCTTCTCCAAAATGTACATCGTGCTAAACGATGGCATAGGAATTGCTGTGACTTGCCGAAAGAAATCCATCCCAAGTACGACCTTGAAGTCGTCCATTGGTGCCACCGAGAAATTCACTTGGCCTCTCCAAGTGCCTAAACGTAACTCGACGCCACGGGCTACGCCATTAAGTGGTTGAGCTCTTGCATTCACGGTCTTGAGCCAACCTTCCCCCTTCGTCCAACTAAGACCGAGTCTTCTAGCCTCATCCTCGGTCACGAAATTATGAGGGGCCCCGGGATGCCGCACGAGCGCTTGCGCTGCGCCGGACTCTATGCCCGCGTCAAAGTGGTATCAGAGCGGGATGTACTTATATTGCTGCGCGTTATGGTGGGATCCTCAACGGTGAAGATTATGCGAGCACGGTGGCATGTGGCATGAGGCATGCGCACGTGCTGATGACGGCTCCACTCCGTTGGTCCGCATGGGGCGGATGGGTCTCGCGAGGAAAGGGGACTCGAGTGGCCACCAGCTTAGTCGAACTACTCTTCATGAGATGTCCAGGCGTTTGCGGCGCGTATGCAATATTAAGTACGGCGATCCTTGGGTAGAGGCCATCTCCCCTAGCACGAGGGCGTGCTAGATGTTAGGTGGGGGAGAGTGTCACGAACTGTTTTTCCGTGACCGTGTAAAGACCCAAAGAATGTGGAAACGGCCAACTGGTTAACAATGCTATGCGGGTGAAGGGGGCGCACCAATAGCATTAAGGGTTGTTCTACCTTAGAAGCTAAGGTCTGGCCGAGTTAGGCACGCCGACCCGATTAAGTTTGGGGAGCCTGTCGCTAGTCTTGGACTTGACTATGAAGGGGACGAATGCGATCGAAGGGCACAGCTGGTTGGGAGCTGTTGCCGCTTCCCTGATGAGCTTATTGCAGGGCGAAACCAGATTGGCTCGTATGTGGGTAAAGGCTGATCCGCGGGGCATGAGGGGCCCCGGGATGCTGCACGGGCGTTGTGCGCTGCGCCGGACTCTATGCTCGTGTCAATAGTCATCCTTGTGCTATTTATTAAATTCTGGAGGTGATAAAAAGTTGAAAGACTCCTTAATAATGAAGAACACAGAAAAACTACCAGATCAATAATGAACACAAAAAAAAAAAAGGAAAAAAAAAAAAGAACCAAACCAGCATGCTAATACTGTCTGAAAAACGAACACCCAACTCAGTCATTAAGACCAGTATTGTTCCAGCAACATATGCAGCCCACCTAGAATGGAAGCCATTATTGAGTTGAAGTCTGCATCATCAAATTGTAAAAGCCAAAGCTGAAATACAAAAAAACAATCAATTACCTTTGAGATGGATCACGGGAAAAATATTTGTATGCTTTCTCATATGACATAGGCTGGTCACCATCCATGAAGTCGGAAAGGTCCATGTCAAAAGTTGGTGCACGGATCCCTAGCTCCGAACCGAATGAAACCTGATAACAAATGGTAATGAGGAGAACATGATTAATTCAAACCAAAATCTTATTACATTAATTTCTTCCAACAATACAGAAGCCAACTAGACTTATAGCTTATCACACTGCCAGAAGAGATAAGAAGAAAGGAGCAATCCATTCCAGACACAAAATAAATGTTGACTGAAAAGCCTTTCTGCACTCATTTTCAACAACTCTATGGAGAATCCCAATTCTTTCAAGACTTCTACATTTCATTCAAACAAAAAAGGGGTTTTCATCCTGATGGAAACTCTAATGCTCCTTCTGCCACATTGTGGTGGAGCTTATTCTGTTTTTAACTATCTGAAAACCTTTTCAACCTTACATAAAATAGCAGCTTTCCAAAAACTTTTAAGTTACTTGGGCTTCCAGAATCCCAAAATTTTATCTGAAACATCAATTAAACAAAAGCTTCTACTATGACTCCAAACAATCATCATCATAACAAGTTAAAAAATAGTTATTCAAAGAGAAGTCTTCATGATTCTCACCATGCCTATGTTGGGATAATAGAATACTTCATGTCTTTAAAGGCAAGTATATGTAAAAGCTCTAATATTTAAAAGGGATATTTGCTTACAAAATGAAGCAAGAATCAATAACACTTCATGAACGGACAGTAAAGCTAACGAAATACATTTAAGATAAAATGAAAAAAAAAAAAAAAAAAAAAAAAAAAAAAAACAGTTAAGTCCCAAATCCTTGTATCAAGAAGGAAGTGTAAATCCAGAGATCAGTGAGCAATTTTACAAAATCAACTGTTTCCCTGAGGTTATAGAAGAAATGAAAATTTAAAGAAAGCCTCATTGAGTAAAGAAAAAAATTACTGTAGCATTATGAAGGAAGATAATCGATATAAGCATTAATGCACTAATTTAAATTAAAATGTTTTAAAATGAATTACAATTTAGAAGTTAAATTGTAGCATCCAGATTCATCAAGTTGCATCTCATACTTAACTCGATGATATAGGAGAAAGCCTAGTAATACATACAATTTGAAGAACAGGGATGGGCCCTTCTGTTGGCTGCCTAGCCTGAGCATGCTTCCACAACTTGTGCTTGGTTGGATGATTTCTCTGGATGGCAACATGACATGCTTCTCTAGTGGGCATCTGTAGGGAAAAAGGAAACACAAGAGAATGATGGAAGCAATACCATAAATGTTAAGCACTACCACAGTACATGATGTAGTCAGAAGAAAGGACATGGAAGGTGTTATAAACTAAGATTGGGCCAAGGTCACTCAACTGGGCTATAATGCACATGGGGGTCAAACCACACTAAAAGATTGAAACCAACCAATTAACTAGTCTAACCATGGCCTTATAAACCCATATATTATCTCCTATTTTATCAATGTGGGACTCTTAATAGAAGGCATAAACCAATCCCTCAATTAAATATTTTAAATTATAAGAAGCATGGTATTGAACAATCAATAGAGCATTATAGTAGCTAATTTTACTAAGAGCAATATGGTATTAAGTCACTTTGAAGACACAAAAGCACAATCATCAAAGCAAAAGCAGTTTATGGTTTTCAGCTCAACAGCACTTGGACAATAAAGGGAAAATGTATAGAACCTGCAGAACCAGGCTTCCTGAATAGTCTGCAATCCCTCCCATCACATCCAACCTCCCTGGAGCTCTGGAAACAATTATGTCTTCCTGAAAAAAGTATTGACAGATAAAATGGTAAAAAAAAATATATAAAAAAAAATAGAAACATGCCATAACTGATGCGGAAAAGTTAGTAGTGGGAAAACAATTGCTTTTATGCTATGTTTAGTTTAGAGTTTGTTTCGTGAGGTTTCGTTATTTTCTTCAATTCCAATGGTTAATTGAGACTCGGATTTCGTACAAAAACAAACATGTCTAATCATTTATCTCATTGCTGGGAGTATTATTGTTTGTCAGCAATACTACATCCTGTCCTGTAGTTCTCCTAATTGACTGGCTGTCACTTTTAAATAAGAAAAGTGAAATTAATTCCTTAGACTTCTGAGAGGTCTACACAAACAGATTGGAGAACAAAAAGCCAAGACATTCATCAACACTAACCTCAAGCAATCTTCAAAACACCACTAGTGTTCATCTTCTTTGCATAGTAGTGAAATTTCAGACTTATGAAATGTTCGTGCTTTTTACTTGTAAAATTTGTTGCAAATGTTTTCTCTTCCCTAATTGTGATCTTTTAATTTGCAGGTTATAGAAATATTACCCTGTACTAATTTTGGAATAGAACTAGTTACCTCCAACAAACTTATGAAATTCCAGAAATCTGATGAGCAAATTAAAAAAAAAAATCAAATTGCAAATAAAGTAAAAGAATCAGAAGATGAGATAAGGAGAGAGACAGTAGTGGAATTTCTGTGTTGCAAAGCTTTTGGAGTTTTTGTTGCTGTGCAATAAAGTTAATAAAGGATAGGAAGAGGAGAGAATGTGATGCATACACAATGATGAGTTTTCAGTCCATAAGATGCAATGAGTAAAATTTATACTTAAAACAAAACTAAAGTAAACTAAATATACCTCCCAGTTCAGCATTGCAACAGCAGCTAGATGCTCACGTGTTTGTGGACTTTTACTACTCACAGGATTCATTGATTGTAGTTCTGCCAAGGTCTTTAAGAAACCTATTGTGTCTGGAAGGCCACGATGATGCCCATGAAGAATCACAAAGTCTTCAGTTCTGCAGATTTGCAAAATGTGTTTTACCGAAGAATCAAGAATGAGCCATAAAATCAAGGGAAAACAAAACAACTGCACTTGTGCAGATAAAGATGGATTGATAAATTACTCTATTGATTTAATGTTGGAGTCAACAGCATTATGATTTGCTGATTGTGAACGAGAACTAAGTTCAGTTTGGGCAAGTGAATACCAATCTGGAACAGCAATATCTGTCCCAGGAATTCTTTGGAGCTGATATCCAAGTACAATAGCATCTCTCAACCTCCTGGCTCCACTAAACTGAAAATCAAAGCACAAAAATAATAGTAAGATGATTTCATTCACTAGTTTCTGGAAGCAAGAATAAAGCCAGTTTCAAGCCACATTATGAATAATGAGTACAGAATAGAACTTGAAGGGACTAATGCCCAATGAAAGGAAACCAATATGAACTGTATCCTCAATGCTTTGCAGATACTCTCTTTGTGCTCTGCACCAAGCTACAATCTAACGTGTTAGCACCCACAGTCCAAGTAAGTGAAAGGTTGGTGTTGGGATGATATCCACTATTCCAAATGAAAACACAGTCTAGGAAGAGGAGTTCAAAGAGGATTAATCAAAAGGCACATAATTAGGGAGGAAAGTTGCAACAAAGTAGGGGTAATTATAACAAGTGTGAGGGAAAGTATCGTTATATAAATAAGTTTAAGGAAAAATTGCATTTTTGGTCCTCTAGTTATACCCGTAGTACAGACTTAAAACCTGAGTTATATGCGTGACCATTTTAACCCCTAAGTTACGCATGGAGTGACGATTTCAGTCCTTGAAAGACCAAATCAGTCACTTAATAGTGACAAATTGGTGGTAGGAATAGTCCCCGAGAGACTAAAATCGCCACTTTGTACATAACTTAGGGGTTAAAGATGGTCACACATATAACTTAGGGACTAAGTTTGTACCACGGGTATAACTAGAGGACCAAAAATGCAATTTTCCCTAAGTTTAATTTAGACAGAAAACACTCTATTGCAAATATTTTAAACAGAGACCACCAAGGTCATCCACATTTTGTACATGTACAATGTACCATCTAGTGAAATTTAGCTTAACTTTGATGATTTTTACCTCTGTGGTTTCTATGTTAAAATCCTTATGACATTTTGTTCATTTTTCTCTTACATTTATTCTATATTCTTCATGTTGAATTTGGAAGATGGAATGGCCTGGCGGATGGAGAATAACACCACCCGCCAGTTAGGCGGAACTCGGAAGCAATAATGAAGAATCAGGAATGAGAGAATGTATATGAAATTGAAAGGTTACAATTAATTCTATATTTTCTGTTTCTAATACAGAAACACAGTACATATATATATATATATATATATATATATATATATATATATATATATATATATACAAATACATAACTGTAAATACCTATCCATAAACTAACACCTAGTCATAAACAGACACAACCCTATAGATAAACCTAACTATTTAGTTTTCAACACTCCCCCTCAAGCTGGAACATCTAGAAGTTCCAAGCTTGAATTAAAACATACACTAACCTTACTTTAAATTACAAATGAAGATTAAAAGCAGTTAGAGAATAACAGTGTTGGATGGCTTCAGAGGGACAATGCTATACACAACCCTTGGGAATGAAGGCCCCAATGGTGAAGATTAACACGAACACCCTCACAGCAACATAAGCACTCTAGGATTTGCCAATCAACAATCTTCATCAAGGACGGCAGAGCAAACAAATCATGAGCAGCAAAGGGGATGTAGTAGAGCCCAAAGTAATGACAGATACACCCAAAGAATGAAGTATGAATACCGAGAACACCACATGATTGTTGTTTATACCCTTTATAGGATAAGTGAATAACAAAAGAGGCTTCCGGAAATAAACAAAAGGTACCACACTTGAAAACCCTAGGGAATAAATATGGTATACCAAAAACAAAGAAACAAATATGGTTATACCAGAAGCACCCCGGAAAGAAGTTGGCAACAAACCCAAAAAAGCCTCAAAACTTCACCAAAAAGTCCAAAGGGCAAAACAACAATCTGGAAAATCTTCACCGGAAAAATACATCACAGGCACAGAAGGAATGGAGGAGAGCCAACGAGCAGAACTGGAGAGTCTTGCCGGAAAAATCCGCTGGAGACTGCCTCACGCGCCGGCGCATGCGATCGGAGGTCCGACAATGGCGGCGGCGCGTGGCGGAAGAGATGGCGATGCCGCTTGCTGGGTCAGGCTCGCCGGAGACGGTAGAAGGGATGGATAACACCAATTTGACAAAAGAACTCACCAAAAGCAAGTAATTTGAACATTTAGGGTTTGCGTGAATAGTAACTTTACTGTTCATCATTGTTCATGCAACTGAAAAATACAATTTTGATGTTTGAAATACCCTAGAAAAGTAGGCTCTGATACCATGTTGAATTTGGAAGACGAAATGGTCGGGCGGGTGGAGAATAACACCACCCGCAAGTTAGGCAGAAACAATAATGAAGAATCAGGAATGAGAATGTATATGAAATTGAAAGGTTACAATTAATTCTATATTTTCTGTTTCTAATATAGAAACACGGTACATATATATATATATACATACACACACACAAATACGTAACTGTACCTACCTATTCATAAACAGACACAACCCTATAGATAAACCTAACTATTCAGTTGTCAACACTTCATATGAATGTATGTTTGAACTGGATCCTTAGTTACTTTCATACTAAAATGTAGAAAGAGTGAAAGAAAACCAAAGAACAAAGAAGGGAAAGTAAAATGAAGGAGAAATTTGTGTTTGGATGAGAAGAAAGAGAGGAGTGAGAAAGGAAGGTGGTGCACCTATTGAGATTGCAAGAGGAGACAGGTTGAATCACTTGAATGTATAGTGCATGCTGAGGAAATGAGGGTCAAATTTCCTCCTCAATTTCTTCCCATTTTGGAAAGGAAATGTTATGGAATATTCAAATATGGAATTCTTACATATTAGGAAGCTTAGAGATTAGGGTTTTGAGTGAGGAGTTATATGGAAACTTGTTTCCATATCATATGTCCTCTAGCTTGTATTTAAAGGGTGGAGTATTCTCTCTAGATGTGTGAGACAGAGAGCTGCCTGAACACAAGGTATTTTTCTAAGCTTTTGAACAGGAAATATATGATAGGATAGGTTAATTTTCTCCTTATGAACTTCCCATCCCTTTTTTATCTCACAAAAATAAGAGGAAATCAAATCTTTTACCCCATGTTCATACTCCCAATTTTCCATCCATCCAAACATAGTGCAAGTAAAAAGAGACAAGGGGAGAAGACAGATGAAAGTTTAATATGAAGTTCCAGTGATCATTACTTTATCTGAAGCTCGATTATTTCCATAGGCTGTATCCTGAAGTATGCGAGCAGCCACCTAAACGAACATCAAAAACAAAATCATAGCAGATAGATTAAACTGAGAGAAACGAAACTAAACTACTAAAGTTCATATTATAATTTGAAAGGAAAATAGAAATAGCAGATAAATTAAAAGAAAAAGATAAAAAGCTTTAAAAATGAAGAAACTTGCCACTTCCAACTTCAAAATGAGATTTATTAGACCAACCAAATCAAACTTCAAAATTCAGTTTGCATAAGGCTAATCTTGAGGATAGGAATCTTCACCTTAGGAATTAACAAAAATCCAATGTATAAGCTCATATGTTTAGGCCTTATTCCTTATCTGTTCTTCTAGAGGTTTGCACTCAAGCTTGCTACTATCATTTTAAAATAAAGAAACCACAGTATAAAGATTCAGATGAAATCAGATACCTCACCACCATTAATGCCTCCTTCATAACACGGTTTCAAAGTTATAGCCCGTTGAAGGTAGGGAGCCCAGTTTCCAGCGAGCAAATCCCTACGTATCATCTCTACACCCCCTTGGTAGTGCTGTATAGAATACATAATAATAACATGAAATCGAAATCTTAAGCCAGCAAAGAGAAAATACCAGCCTGTCAGCAACTATTTTACCTCAACTAGATTCCTCAAAAATGGTTCTTCGTTAAAATAATCTCTACGCACAAATACAAATGGCACTTTGTATGCCAAAGCTTCACTAGATGTGCCATATCCAATTTTACCTGAACAAAGAGAATTTGAAATTTAACTACAGTTTTGTCATGTGCAACACAATATTTGAACTCCTTAAGGGAAGCAAAATTTACCAAGCATGACGTCTGAAGCAGCAATAGCATCAGGTGTATAAAAATCTTTAGGGAGTTTTACAAAATTAGGAGGCAGCTCTTGCCCTTCAGAAGCACCACAAACCTTTAACCAGAACAATGACCATAAACTTTTGTTACCAAAACCAAAATGCATTTCAAATGAAACAAGGAAAAAAACACAAGACACAGAGAATCAGGAAAACTGACCAAACATATCCATCCATCAGGTAGATACTCCTTTTTTAGCTGCCATCCAGCTAGCTGCAAAAAGGATGGCATGTCATGCTACGCTATGGGTTTTTTTTTTTTTTTTTCCAGATTTGGTCATCTAAAACATATAAAAATACACCCATAACAAATTAACAATAACCCTATAGCTCTAAAGATTTTAAATGCTAAAGCATTATAATACAAAAAGGTATAGACCTCATTGACACTATAAGTTGGTGGTTGTTTGGCCCAATTTATTATGGGGTTACTACTCATCTACTCCAAAATAGAAGTCAGGCCAAACACTAAAAATTAGAAGGCTTTTAAGGCTAGATAAGAGGAAGAAGCCACATTTTCAAGAAACTCAATCAAAAAACTCTGAAGTAAGGCAGCAAATTTAAAAAGTATCGTCAGTGAAAATATACGTGAGGATTTATTAAAAGAAAAGGAATGGAGTCTAAGAAACTATTACCTGCCCGCCAAAATTATAAACAAGAAGTTTGACATCATCCCCAATTCCAAGCTCTTTCCTAACCTAAATGAAGAAATAAAAAATAAAAGTAAAGAAAATGTATAACTAGAAGTATTTGCTTGCTTGCTTAAAGGATGATAATACTACAATGTGTACCTCTGCACGAGATTTGTGCAACCTTCTTACAACAAGAGGTACATCAATGACATCTCTAAAAGCAGGCACTGCAAAGTGAATTTTTATTTTGTGTTAACACCAACATGCAGAGGATTGAACATAAACTACAGAAGGAAGATCTATAAACACATAATGCATGAACTCATCTTAAAATTGAATGTATAAGACAAGAAGAAATGAAGTTGAGACAATGAACCAGTAAAGGAAAGTAAAGAAGCAAATCAACACTTCTCAAAATAGCTGTAGACAAATGGAATTAACATACTTGGGCAGTACCCTGGCAGACGAATTAGAAACTCACAATGAGAGTAATCCTCTGCTATCTGCACGTATCATCATCAATGCCAAATATCTTAGTTGTCAAAATATAAATAATCATTTTAGAAGTCATCATATGCAATAGAAATTAATTGGTTTTAGCATAATATTAAGTCAATATAAGTTGTGCTATGTAGTCTCCTAGCCTCTGTCCCAATTGACCAATTGTCACATTGAAATTAGCACTAAATGATAAAGTTATCAAGAGAAAAACACAAATATACACATATGTAAAATCTCTCTTTTATCTTCACTGATTAAAGGGAAGATGGGCAAATGAAAGAAAACTAAACATCATATTCTGGATGCAGAACTCAGGTAAAAATGGGAATCACCTGCCAGATTATTGAGCGGTTTTGTATTCCTGCTGCCATTACATATTCAGCATAGATGAAATCCCAACTGCCAAGGTATTAAAAAGAGTATGGGGGGAGAAGAAATATAAGATTCATTTCTAGCCACTAAGAAAAGACATCATAGACAGAATATGACATAATTAGAATGTATCGAGGATAATTAAAAGAATAGTCTTAAAAGGGGGATGTAATTGTAGTGAGCATTGTTGTAATTTGAGTGGAACCCATGTTTACTGAAATATATCAGACCTCAGTCCTAGTAAATGTTTCAATGAAGAAACCGCCTTTACAGTTAGTCAGTGATGATGAGCAGCAAACAGATTTTCCTTTAGTTTCATTTTACACAGACGACAACTCATCTTCCATTTATTATTTTCTTTTATTCATTGAGACCTTTATAATGGGTGTGGAAAGAAATGTACTTCACATACAAAATGAAAACTTCTACAGTAGCAGCAGTGTCACTAACAAGGATGTCTGATTAGTGAGGATTGTTCCATTGATTAAAGAAAACTAGAAGGGTAATTAGAGCTGCTAAACTACAAAAAAGAACACTTTCAGTATCCTTTATTGTGGATGAGGGAAGAGAACTCCTCCACATATAAAAGTTATAAAAAAAAAATAAATAAATAAAAAACTACAGTAGCAGCATAATTGTTGGGTAGCAAGGATGTCTGATTAGTAGGGATTGTTCCTTTAATTAAAGAAAACTAAAAGGATAAGTAGTGCCATTAGACCTACAAAAAAGATTAATATCCTATATAACATGAACCAACTATTAAACTTCTTAAAGGCATACTTAATGATCAACAGTCCGAACAGTACACTTTAAATCCCCCCTCCCCCCCCCCCCCCCCCTCCCCCCTCCTCTCCACCAGTGTAAAGGTAGGTCCACCCCTCCATAATTAGAACTGGTTGGAGGGATACCTAGCCCTTACCCTTAGACAAAAGAAAAAAGAAAATGGTTTTCAAAGAAAAGAATCCCAAACTCCTGAAACAGCCTTTGCTAACTCAGTTATCTGATATATATTTAAGACAAAATTTTGTAACTAATTTCTGTTTGAGAAATGGTAACTATGGGTTCTCTAAGCAATGAAGAAAAAATAGAATTCATATATTTTTTTCATACAGAATACAAATTAGGTTTAAAAGCAGACAACTGATTTGATATATATATATATATATATATATATATATATATATATATATATATATATATATATATATATATATATATATATATATATATATATATATATATATATATATATATATATGCAACCATGATATTCTGTAGACCATTTGAAGTGGAAATGGACAAGTCATTACAACACTTCTACCAATCTACCTGAAATTGGTGCAACAAACCGCAGGTATTCCAGCATTTGCCGCTGCTCGGCAAGCAACAGGAACAACATCTGAAACCTATGTGACAAAGAGATAACCGGTTTGAAAAGTGCTCACATAAAAAAATGAGGACAAGTACTTGGAAAATGTATTGTTATTGAATACAGTGAAGCTTGGACTGCTGTACCAAAAACCTGATTTACCTGAATTCAAGTGAGTACTTATATGGATCGTTCAAGAATGATACCCAGAAAAACCTAAAACCATGTCAGGCTTTAACTAAATAGACACCACTCAGAGTGGTTGATGTATTTGAAACTGTATATTTTCAGGTGCCAAAGGCTAGTGCCCATTCATTGAGGCACAACCACCAGGAAGGGAGTTGTTGGCTTCTCATGGTCTAAAAGAAATGCATAATCTTTGTGCAACAATTTTGAAAATTTTTCACCTTGTGCATGGAGTTATAACAAACTGATGAATCAAAGACAAATAAATAAAGAGAAAATATGCTACCTCAAACACTTAACAAATTAAAATAAATACATGAATTGTACAAATAAATACTGCATACTAATTATTTCTAAAGTGATGCTTATTCATTCTCCCTGCCAGTCAAATGACGAGACACAATCAGGATAAAATAAAAAACAAGGTATTGCTCTACAACTTTACCACAAAGTCAGCCTTGATAGATTTCAACCAATCAACTTCTGTGGCCAATATTTCTTCCCGAGGGACTACAGCTGTTTCAATGTACTGGCAAAAAATCAGGAAATAACCTAGATTCAATGATAATCCTTATTGCAAAAATGAAAGCAGGGGCAGTATTTAGCTACTATTGTTTTTCAGTTGATTTTCAGCAGATATGATCAAACCTTTTCAAGTGAAGCAAGACGGTCAACTGTCAAAGCATCTGCTTGAACAGCTCCACAGTCCAGCAGCACCTGCACATGCACATGTGTTATAATATGCATGTAAAAGCCACTAAATATGTATGTATCATTAAAATGGATAACCTGTGGCTTTTATCCAGTGGAAATGCAAACCAAATATTTCTGAATTTATCTACTAAATATGAAAACTGAACTGAGAATATATGCAACTGGTACTGTAATATTGTTTCTGGACTCCATAGAAAATGAGTGATGAACAAAACTTGCATAGGTTTCATTTCATGTGATTCAAGTATGCATCATTAAAAGGTTCAATCCATTCTTCAACATTTTTCTAGCACAAAGAAAAACATTCGCCTTTTTTATCTTCTATAAAATTTGAATGAAAATCTATTCAACAAGACAACAACACAACCATAAGTTAGACATTTTCATATAAAGATAGGGCTCCCATGCATCCAACTTTCGTAATATTCATCAATACGTTCAGCTAACACAACGTGGAGTAAGCAGTAATTTATCTATTTGCTTATGAGAGTAAAGAAGAGGACATGTTACACACACTTCATCTTCACCACTATAACTAAGAACACTAATTAATGAAATACTATACAAGGAGAAAGAGGATCTGACTGACAACAATATATACTTTCCTTATAAAGTAACTATATTTACCTTTCGAATAAATAGTTGCGGTGACTGTATCTCAGAAGTGTAAACATAGTTGGGAGCGCCAGTGACCACATGAACTTCATGCCCAGCTAGAATGAGGTTACGAACAATCTGTATATTCAAACAATCTCAACAATGGGTAAAGTTCCTTAGAATAAGTGATCTATTAGTGAGCAATGATAGCAAAGTTTAAGACCATCATAGTAAATGGGATGTCCTGACAATGTACCAAAGATACTGACAAGTTATGTCATAGATAATTAGATATTCATAGGTTAGATCAAATATAAAGGACACAAATCAATTCAAATCAAATTAGATAATAGATAAATAAATTAATTGAACAAGCAAATTCAGGTTGGAGCTGGACATCTGTCAAAGATTATATTACATTATACTAATAAATTTGAGATAATGTACAAATAGAAAACTTGGCATGTCTATACATCAGAATATACAAAGCAAGCTAGCAAAGAAAATCAAAAGATTACTTACAAGTACATCAAAAGAATGGATCATTATGTGCCTGTTTGGGGATTAGTTGTTAGATTAGCTTTTAGCTTCTTTTTTTCTTTTTTCTTTTTTTTGTCTTTCTTTCTTTTTTAGTACCAAGGTAAAAGGAAATTAGCTCTCTCAGTGTACTAAAAAGATGGGAACAAATATTGGCTAATAGCTTTTAGGTGTTAATTGTTTGTATTAGTTGTTAGTCAGTTACTAGCAGTCAGTTGTTGGAATATGTAAAATGACATAATTTTTAGTAGCATTTTTTCCAAATATTTTTTTAGGATACTAATCTAGATGAGTGAATTTTTTTTTTTTTTTTTAAATCACCTATCTAATTAACTAATTAAGTCAATTGCAAGAAATGCTTTTAGTTAAATATAAACACAACATTGGGAAGTTAATAAAAAATATATATTAGGATGAAATATGGATATTTTGAAGTATAACAAATATAATATATTACGATGGAATAGGGTTAGACAGGAGTCAGTCATCATTTGAACTTACACCCTAAAAAGCTATTCTCAAAGAGCTATTCCCACCTTGTTGGGATCAAAAGCTAATCTAAAAAGCTCTTTACCAAAGGGGCAAATCCTAAAAGCTAATTTAAAAACTTGTTTACCAAACACAAAAAAAGTGCCTTTTAACCTGATAACACCCCTAAAAGCTCTTCAAAAAGCTAAAAGCTCTCACAAACACAGCCTATGTACTATTTCTAACAAAACTCCAACTGTCCATATATTATGGCAGATGGAAGTTGGGCCACCATGTCATGTCAATTTGAGATAACATACATGTGTAGGTCAATTTGTTTCATCCAACCAAACAACTCAGAGAAAAACAGGAAATGGCACAATAATGATTCTCCAAGAGCATGCTGCAAGTCTCAATTGTTATTTCAGGGTTGGAGGTCCAATTTGCAGGGTACCAATGAGTAAGAAATAATGCAAATCACATCAGAATAATTCCATTACTGAAGCCAGAATAAATGTTGTTCCCCCAATATATGGGAAAAAATATCACAAGGCCTAGGCATGTTAACTGGCAAGAATGATCCGATTTAAAACAGGCAAAAGAACCACATAGTAACATGAAACTATTATTTTCAGAAACCAGAAAATGGAGACTGGCCAGGCACCAATGCAGCTAGAGAAAAAATAAACCTTTATTTCATTCTTGACATTGCAAAAAGCAGCCAGGATTATTCATTTAGAATTTAAAAAAAAAAAAATTATTTCCAAAACATATGATGAAAAAAAAAAAGGCTTAAAGGTGATAATGCAGACAAGACAAAAAAAAATCCCAACGGAGCAAATGATTTCCCTCTGGCATCAACAAAAGCAACTTAAACTATGCGCCTATGATTCTAGTCCTAGAATTTCTACTCTTTACCATCCAAGATCCTATCCACAAGAATCAACCACAACTATCAAAACAATGAACAATCCCATTTCACACTCATTGTGGCAGATCAAAATGAGGGATGTTCATAATCTCATATGGTTTTTGTACCTCATTTTCAGCTATCTCAACATGCATTTGTCTGCAAGTATCTAGTGAACATCAAAACATGCATTTCATGGATTTTAAAAGGTTCTAAAATGAGTTTGTAATTCACCTCAACAACGCGAGTAGCATGCCCAAATCCATGTCCTGTCACATAGTACGCAAAAACCAATGGCTTCTTCGGTGAACCCATTCTCAGAACCCTAACAAATGCACAATGCGTTTCGGAAAACAAATCAGAAAGGGGATTTAAACGACCGGTAGAGCTTAGGAGATCCTGTCGTGTGCATATGGCTACTTATAGTAAAATTTCGTATCTGAATCAGTTACCAATTACCATGTTTGAATCAATATCCAAATCAGTGGATAAAGATTGACTTTATGTGCTGGATCGATGGGATCGGTAAGAGTCAAATCATTGTTTTATTGCAACTGTGGAATTTGGCTTTAAAAACAAAAATTATTTGAAGGCTTGAAAAATTTTTTTACAAGGAGAAAGGTATTCAAAAAAAAAAATTATGAGTACGAGTCAAATTAGTCATTGAATTATACACATGAAAATATAATTAGATAAAATAATGTCACATGTCATTGATTAATCATTCCTCAAATTACTACTATACTTTTTGCTATTCTTTAACTATTTCACAATTTATTAATGATATGTACTATATGTCATTGATTAATCATTCCTCAAACTACTACTCTACTTTTCACATTATTTTTCCACAATTAAACTTCTGCGGATGCATCATCTCCCCCATATATATATTCTTTCTCATCTTCATCCCTTTAAGACATCCGGTAAATAAGTGACAGATGTATAAAAAGTTGATGAGATAAGATTTCTCCTTGCCTTCATCCATGTAAATATTAAAGTGCATCCTAATGAAAACTCTTTAGTTCATACACTTTCATTTGCAGACTAAATTTCTTCACTCCAACTTCTACAAATTGCTACTAAAATGTATGATTGATGAACTTAATCTTTTTACTTTATATTAGTTTTTATTTTTATATTTAATCATATGCATAAATCCTTTATATAATAAAGCTATATGGTTTGGAAAATAATTAATGTTACAATTAATGCCACAACATCCTTTATTATTAAAAAAAAAAAAAACACAACATTTAAAAAATAAAATAGCTATATATTATATAATCATATAAAAAATATACTTTTGAAAAATAAAATAGCTATATATTATATAATCATATAGAAAATGTGTTCAATTAGAGTTTAAATTTACACATACAAAATTTAAAATTTGCTTTCCAAATGTGATTATCTTAGTTATTATTCGTATTGTGAAAATTATAATATAGATGATATACAATTAAGAATAAATCAATGTAATTATGTAAATTCTCTCTATAAGTTTATTTGAATATGCACATAATTAGAGATTATATTAACCATACAAAATTATAATTTTAATTTTAATTGTAATTTTGTATTCTATAAAAATAATAAATACTTGACCAATGGAAGCTCAAAAATATTATTATATTAAATAATTTAAAATATTTTAATTTTTCTATTTTTTATTTATATTTATAATAACATAATTTGTTTCCGTGCATCGCGCGGGTGAATTACTAATGTATTCAAAAGACGTAAATCTTATTTGAAGAAAGAATGATATGTACAGTGTACTACATATCATTGATTAATTATTCCTCAAATTATTATTATACTTTTCACATTATTTTTTCACAATTAAACCTCTGTGAAGGGCATTATATATATATATATATATATATATATATATATATATATATATATATATATATATATATATTTTGAAGGTCAATCTTGCGATTGTATTAATGAATCAAAGCCGAAATAGCGTCAGGTGGGATAGCATCCTAGTACATAGCTTGATCCTGAGTAAATGTTAATGTAGCTAAAGTATGCGCATGTAAATTAACCTGCCTAGAAATATAATCCAAAGTAATACGATTAAACAACGACATAAACATCCTGCACTGGTCAACTGTGACCCCAACGTACGAATGGATCGGCGTATGATGGTGCCTGAACATCGCTGCCAATTCCATGCAATCCGTGAGTAAACTTACTGATGTGGTGTCCCGTTCAAGTAGCCAGGACAAAGCCTCCTTGTATGCCTGAGCCTCCGCCATAAGTGGTGAAAAACAAATTGGTAACTTGCCATTCCTTGCTGCCACAAACGAGCCATCTGGCGCTATAATTACCATGCCGTAAGTAGCCTCGCCCGTGTCGTGCCGGAAACCCGCGTCTACATAACATCGTAGACCACCCCCTCCTGGGCCATTCACGTGGTCCGCCGCCGGTGCCGGGTTGGTTCGGCCAACATGAGCAGTGCCGTACGCCTGCAGTGCTACGGTGGCTGCTCTGACCAACTGGGTAGCCCGCATCATTGATCCCTTCCAGACAGCTGAATTCCGGGTTCTCCAAATATAATATAATATTGCTACCATTAACCGGATCTGCTCCTCCGTCAAGACTGCCATAACCCCTTTTAGCCATGTTGTAAACGAGTCTGCAACAATATTAATAATAGGCAATTGTGTTATATTCCAAACAAGTCTAGAATATTCACAGAGCACTAAAGCATGCAACACATCTTCATGATCTAAACCACACATAGGGCAAGTTGGGTCCACCTCCACCCTTTTAAATATCAAGTTAACGGTTGTTGGCAAAATATCACATATGGCTCTCCACAAAAAAGTTTTCCATTTCGGGGGGACTTCTATTTTCCACATTGCGATCCACTTATCAAAATTCGCTGGATTATTCTCATAATCTCCCACAATATGCCTATAGGCATTCTTTACTGTATATGTCCCCTTTGGGTCACTCATCCAGTACCATGAGTCCTCATACTCAGGACTAACAGGGATCATATTTATTCGCTCCACATCTTCAGGAATAAATAAATCAGACAAAATATGCGGATCCCAGGTATGAGTTGCGGATCCCAGGTATGAGTCTGTAAATCAATTAGTCCTGCAACTCGTGCCTCTCTCAATTGTTGTGGCATTTCTGTTTGAATCAATGGGCTAGGATTATCTCGTAACCACGGGTGTCCCCATATTAGAGTTGTCTGTCCATTCCCAATCCTCCTTCGCACCCCTGAGACTACCATTGCATGGGCCGCCATTATACTTCTCCAAGAATAACTCGGGCAATTACCAATAGTTGCATCTGTAAAACTGGTTGTGGGATAATACCTTGCCTTATAGATTTTGGCTACGAGTGTTTCTGGGTCTATTAAAAATCGCCATGCCTGTTTACCTAGCATTGCTATATTAAAAACCCTTAGCTCTTTAAAATCCATACCGCCATACTTTTTTGGTATGCACAACCTGTCCCATGCCTTCCAATGTATTCCCCTTTCTCTTCCACTGCCCCACCAATATTTATTCATAGTTCGCTCAATGGACTGACAAACTGTCTCAGGTAACAAAAAAACACTCATCGAAAAGGTAGGCATAGATTGTGCTACACTTTTCAATAATACTTTCTTACCAGCCTGAGAGAGTAGCTTTTTACTCCACGAACCAATTCATTGCCTAATTTTTTCCTCCACATACGAAAAAACAGCTCTCTTGTTTCTCCCTACAAAAGATGGTAGGCCCAGATATTTCCCAAAATTGGGTGCTTGCACCACCCCCAGACAATTCGCCACATGTGCCCTGTCAGCCTCCTGGGTATTTCTGCTAAAACATATATTTGATTTATTATAATTCACTACCTGACAATTTCTCATACCTTGCAAAGCACTGCCTTATAACTCCTGCCTCCTGGATATTTGCTTTAAAAAATAGGAGACTATCATCTGCAAAAAATAGGTGTGATACAGGCGGTGCCCCCTTGCTACTCTGCACCCATGTATTGAACTTGCCAACTGTTCCTACTGTAATATCATCGAGAGAGCCTCTGCACAAATAATAAATAAATACGGAGAGAGCGGGTCTCCCTGCCTGAGTCCCCGGGTTGGTTTCACTTGCCCCCTTCTATACCATTAACCATTACAGTATAATTAACAGTAGTTACACACACCATAATGAGTTTTACCCACTTCTCACTAAAACCCATAACAGTCAGCATCCTTTCTAGAAAGTTCCACTCCATTCTATCATAGGCCTTTGACATATCTAGCTTTAATGCACTCCATCCCACTATACCACATTGCTTTCTATTCAGATAATGCCCCACCTCTGCTGCCACCAGGATGTTGTCTGTGATTAGCCTTCCCGGGATAAAAGCACTCTGGGATTCTGAGATCAATCCTCCCATTAATATTTTCATCCTATTTGCTATCATTTTGGCCATAATTCTGTAAATGACATTACTCAATGCTATCGGCCTTAAATCTGCTACTGTCTCAGGCATCTCCTTCTTCGGTATCAAGACAATGTTAGTATCATTCAATCCTTCAGGGAATACACAGGAATTCAAAGCATTAACTATAAAACCAGATACATCTCCTCCCACTATCCCCCAAAACTGCTGGTAGAAACCCGGGTTCAACCCATCCGGCCCCGGTGCCTTATCCGGATACATTGAAAAAAGAGCCTCTTTAACCTCATTAGTTTCAAAAGGGCGGTCTAGCATTATATTCTGCTCCAACGTTACTCGTGGGGTTAGGACTCCAAAAAGTGGATCATCACAACTCAGTCCATTTGAGGCAAAAATATTTTCAAAGTAATTCTGTATAACAGCATGCATATCATCCCACTCCACCCAGTTACCAGCATCACATTTAATAGTAGAAATAAAATTCTTTTTCCGGCGTGCAGAAGCATACCTGTGATAAAATTTTGTATTCGCATCAGCCCCGCGTAGCCAGTGTTGCTTGGCCCGCTGCCTCCAAAACACATCCTCCTGGGCCTCTACTCGTTTCATAGTATTCTCAATCTGTTGGTACTCAGCGAGAGCTACCAAATCTCGTCTATTCCGTATGGCATCTTGCCTCCGCTGCAGGTAGTTAATTCGCTTTCCAAATTTATGAAACTGATCTCCACCCCACCGCATCAACTTTTCTCCACACAACTGCTAGCAGTGCAGCAATCCCTCCGTTCTCCCCTCTTGCCAGGCCGTTTCTATTACTCCTTTGCACCCCTCATCTAATAGCCAAGCCATTTCAAATCTGAACTTCCGCGGTCCCCTTCTCCTTGGCATGCAAATCGCATTAATACTGAGGAATAGGATCGAGTGATCCGATGCCCGAGTTCGAATATTTTCCAGCATTTGCATTCTCATTGAGCAGACTCCAATCGTGTGGTATATATATATATATATATATATATATATATATATATATATATATATATTTGAATTACAAATTGTTAAAGAAGAAAAGTTTAGTTAATAACTATGAATAATTTGTTCCCGTTAATGAATATGAAGATTCATCAATAAATCGTGTGGTGTTTACGGGAGGTTTTCTTCTACTCCACCTTCTCAAAAGTTGAATTACCAGAACAACAAAATCAAACACAATGCGTTTGCCGGGAGTCGAACCCGGGTCTATTGCTTGGAAGGCAATTATCCTAACCGTTGGACTACAAACGCTTACGAAAGTCATGGTAGAAACATAAAATATATAACTAAACCTGCTAATTCTCAATATCATGTTATCTCCACAGCCCCATTGATGAAAATCTGTTTTATATAATTTTCCGAAACATGGATTGTTATACCATATACCGGAAAAATTATACAATGGACCAAGATTACCTTTAAAATGATATTCAAATCATGTATTTTTGTTTAATATTTTATGTATCTACAGTTAACATAGACACATAATATAGTTAACAAATTATGTGATTTTAAATAAAATGAAAATACATAATATGTTAATTACATGCACATAATAATATATTAACTGCAAGTACATAATATGTCGTTAATATATTATGTATTTGTAATTAACATATTATCTGTTTTCAATTTATTTATATGTACATAATATATTAACTGCATATAATTTTTTTTATTAGGGTTCACAATGTAAAGTAAACCTTGATCCATAATTAGGATACAAGATGTAACATTATTCAGCTTCATGTGGTCACCCACATGTGACAGTCTAAAATTACAATTAACCCTATGATTTATTATTTGAAGCCACATTGTTGAAATACCATCCTTTGTTTTTTAATAACAAGTCTTTATGTTAATAAAGTTATATACCTTAGATGGGTCAATATTCACATTCGTTAACAAACATTATCAGAAAAATAAAAATAAAAATTCAATACTAGCTTCAGTAGCTTGAATACTATTGTCCATATTACTTTTTTTTTTTGAAAGATTGTCCATATTACTAAACAACGATGTTCATCTCACCTATTGTATGCAAGTACTTAGTACCTAAGCTTTTACATAGGCATCATAAACATGAATTATACCAACAAGTATACACAATGAATCGTTTATACAATAAAATTTTGCTTCCATATATACTTGCTAAACCTAACTTCATTGAATAATGAACCTTAAACCAACCTATAAAATCCACAAGATTTTTTCCACAGTCACAACAAATTCAACACACCCAAATTGAAGATTAGCCAATTGGTATATTGGGAAAAAAAAAAAATCTAAATAGAGACTCCAAGTACTATCCACCCAAAAAGAAAAAAACTAAAGCCATTCTAAGTTTTCTAACTACCACCCAGGAACAAGCCTTTGGATAGTTTCTTCCTTTTATTGGGGGCGTCATTCAAGTCTGAATCCCTGCTTGGACCAACCCATGATATGGGATTAGCTGTGCATATAAAAAAAAGCACTTGTTAGGCATTTGAATTTCAAATATCCAACACTATTTAATAAAATCAAAATTATAATTAAAAAAAAAAAACAAAAAAAAAAAAAAAAACAAACAAACAAACAAACAAACAAACTAGGCATGTCAAGTTGCACATATTCTATATTTAAGTCATTGGTTTACACTGTACGAGTGGGAATCAAAATCATAGTTATTGTTTGGTTCAACTTTTTAAGACACAACCATGGAATTTGATTATCCCTTCTATTAAGAACCTCACCCCCTAATTAAAAAGGGTATCATTTCATCTTATATTGGTAATTTGATCTTTAAGTTTGGATTAATACTTTTAAATTTTTATTTTGATTTTTTGTTCATATAGTGCTTTGGATGTGATTATATTAGGATCAATTGCCTGGATTTTTTGTGTTTGTATTTTTAAAATTTTTATTATCATTATAGGGTCATACATAACCAAACATCAATATTGGTAATCATTCCAATTTCCAGCCTACTACCAAACATGCAAAATATTTTCACCAAAACCATTATCATTTCCAAGTATTTGATTCCCATTCCATGTGCGAACCAAACACACACTTATACTGTAAAAGCCATGCAAATCCTTACATCTTACCTAATATATCCAGACAATATTAACAAATTCTCCGGAAAGTAACTAGTATCATGATATGTACTTCTCATACCTTCAATGGGCTCAAGAGATCCAGGAAATACAGGAGCAGTGTCATCATGTGAAGGCATAGTAGACTGAGAGGGACGTCTTTTCACCACATAGTTCTTCTGCAAAGGCTTTGGGGTCTGGAATGAGAACTGGGATATGCTCATACCATCTCGTACACACTCAGGGTGTTCCTCCAAGTACCTGCAAAAAGAGTAGTGGGGGGACCACAAAACAACATTAAAAAAATATTTTGAATAATTCAGTTGTAGACATTAACATGTATCTAGGCACAACGAATAAGGGAAAAATGAATAGAAAGCTCAGTTAGCTTTTGAGTACTTCTCAATTTCAACCATGGAGCGGAATCTCTTGCCTGATGGAGCAACATAATACCTGCAAATAATTACAAAAAGTCAATCAAGACACAATTATAGTTGGTTTGGATGGTGCAAGGTATCAGGGTTCAAATTATACATTAATACAACAGCTTAAAGCAATAAAACATAAATAGCAGTAAAACAAAGGGAAAATGGAGCATACACATCAGCAAATCTGGTGCCTCCTTCACCTCTTATCCTCAACAGCCGCTGCCAGCCATGAGGGGGAATAGCAATATTAGGTTTATCAATTGCCCAAAGTCTACTGCCATCTTGAGTAATATCTGGTGGGTCATCACATGATATCTCAGGCCTCCATTCACGAGCAAGATCACAAAAGAATGGAACTTCTAATATGTGTTCCCTTATTTCCTCATATTTTTGCTTCTCGGGGATGAGCCTCCATTTAAAACAATTGGCACACTGAACAGCAAAAGCTCCAATAGATCGATAAACTTTGGACCTACCAGAAGATGGAGGTGGAGATTGAGCAGGATCAGGAACTTGTCCAATTTCACCAGCATCATTGATTGATGGATCATATACTACCAATTCATTGTTAACATTTTCCATAATTTCATTCTGCTCGTCCTCTGTGCTATCATCTCGTTCCCCTTGAGATGTATTGCATATGGGATCTTGAGAAGAGATCTCAACGAAATCATGGGATCTAATAACTCCAAAACTATTTTGTCCTCTCTTCATCTTATCCAGGGGATTGTCAATAGAAGAGCTTTTGGTATCCATTTCTTTATTAATGGAAGGGCTCAACGCGTGCCCCTGCATATAAGTAGTTATTAATAACTCAAGCCAACAAAAATGAGCTAAGTGCACCCTATTTATCTCATTTGGGATCTTCAAGAACTGTCAACACAAATTAACAGAAAAAGAAAGTTGTTACAATCTTATATTAACACAGTACCTCAAAACTTCTGTATGATCCTATGAATGCGAATTAAGGGGATATAAAGAAATAAATAAAACATTTCTCTATAAGACATTGAATAGCTGCACAATTAGGCAAGAAAGAACTCAAGGAAGTTTATCACAAATAACATTAATGCAAAGCAAACATGTAAATCAAGAATCAAAAGAAAAACCAACATTTTTATACAAGCAATAAATTCCAAATGTTAAGATATATCTACTTGTTGAAGTAGCCTTCATGCTCTGTTACAATCATGAAAATATTTCTGGAAGGTTCCATTTTAACTATCTAATGGCATGTGACAAATTGGTTAGCTGCAAAAATTGAGAGTAAAAGACATTTCCTAAACTCATATAAAAAAATTTTAAAAAAAATTAAAAGAAAAGTAGAAAATGACAGTTTAAACCTGTGCAGAACACTTATGGGGTATGAGACAATAGAAAATGAAAACTCAACATAGCACCAATGTTTAAGAAGTTATTTCTCGCATTGAACTGAAAGGCAATACCTTTTAAGAGATGTCATAGTTGACATCATGTTAAAAGGGTAGGCATGCATGCATGTAAATAGGTAAAGTTGCATTTCTTTGTTTGTGCACTCCCTCTGGTCTTGACCTAGATTCTAGGAATATAAGGTGTTGGCATCTCCCACGATGTTACACTACCATGTCTATCCAAGTGATGTTTCCCAATTAACTATCAACTATTTTAGCTTAAAAGAGCCAAGTAGACAAGTGGTGAGAAGATAATAATGCCGACACACTAGACAAAGTTTGATTAACCAGACCCTTTCAGGATATTGAAACCCCAAAAATCGGCTGCAAAAAATTCAGTGTAATACGTGCAACTCGAATGATGAAGGAAAAAACTGATTGAGCACCTCAATTGGAATAAAATAAAATGTCCTAGTAATGTATTAAATGTAGCATACTTCCAGTGTACACTAATGGAATTTCTAAAGTCAATTAAAAGTTAAAACCAGCCTACTTTTTCTTTTATGGATAAGTCAATCAACACCTGTTTCTATCATTTAATGGACTAAGAACTTGCCAGTTGCCACCATGGTTATCATTTATCAAGGCGACGACTAGGCGTCCGGTCTCCACTGACCGGACGCCTAATGAGCTCGCCTCGCCTAAAATGGGCGAGGCGAGATCAGGCGATGCCTGGAACACCTAACCTAGTCTCGACCCGGTGTTGAACCGGATCGACCCGTTTTAGCATATTAAAACCCTTCCAGCACGTCTTCTCTTCGCAAATCGCATCGCAGTCGCAGCCTTCATTTCCTTTTCATTGCAGCCCACAGCCGTCGTCGACTTCTTGCAGCTCCGCCGACCACCGCCGTCGCACCCCTGCCGTCTCAGACTCCCGCCGACGCACTCTCAGATGTCTCAAGTAGCCAACTGCCATTCTTTATTTTTTTCTTCTTTTTCCTTCTTCTTTCTTCTAGGCTGAGTGGCCTTTTGCTCTGTTCTGCCCTTCTTTTGGCTTCTACTAGTTAAACTTCTATTTTATATATATATATATATATATATATATATATATATATATATATATATATATATATTACTCATCGCCTACTCGCCTAGGCGACAAGGCGGTCGGGGGGGGGGGGGGGGGGGGGGGCCCGCGACTTAACAGGCCGCCGTGATAAGCTTGGTTGCCACACCAAAACTAGAATTTCACAAATCATTTTATGGATTAGTCTTTGTTTGGAAGAAAAATAAAATAAAATAAAAAGTTCTGGTTCAACCAGACTTAAAAGGACAAACAGTGCTGACGGTGGAACAAACTAAAATCTAAAAGTTTACTCGAGATGAGTTTCTTAAAATGATGAGTGAATTTTTCAAAATACATACAGAATATGAATATCATTAGAACTGATGGCAACAGTAGGAAAGTTCTTCATTTCCTTTTCTCAAATAGTCAAATAACTTAAAACCTTAAATTGGAATTTGCAAAACAAAGAAAAAAAAAAAAAAAAGGGACCAAAAATACATAAAGGAAAATGCTTCTTACCCCTCATAATTCTTCCCCTCCTAAATTCCCTTCATGACATGTCTTATAATCATTGGGTGCCATGAATTGGCTGACCCCACCAACTTTTAATGACAAAAATAAAGTACCCAATCAAACAATGCCATGTCAGGAGGGAAATTATGAGGGGAAATTTTTTTAGGGGTAAATAGCATTACTCATACATAAATTGGACTACAGTATTTACCGATAATTTTTTGGATATAGTAGACTATTAATCATAAAATGTGACTTGAGACAGGTTTCTAGGCCTTGCAAAGACACATTCACTTCCCTCTAGTCCATGCAAGTGGGAACTTATAGTTACTAATATCAGGCACTAAACATCTTAACAGTAAGGCTTAAAGGTGCATGCATATCATGAAGATACATCTGCTCAAGAATTGGTATCTAAACAACAATATAAGCATAATGGAAATTTTACATGAACAATATCAAAAAAAATCCAAATATGTTTACATCAATCTGTGATAAATAAATAAATAAGAAGATGACTTGAGCATGCAACCATTCGTGTTCACAATTGAAGGAACATCTACCAGATTCCCTAGAAGTCCAGGCTCCATGCCTCCATCTATGACCATCATAAAGTTCAAGGTACTATACTACGATAGCATTATGTATGAAAATGTAGGCAGATACACCTGGCATATCTAAGTCCATTACAAAATTACAGTCAAAAGATTAATAAGGAAAGAGGAAATGATCTCACATCTAGACCACGCTTAGAGTAAACTTCCCTCGAAGTTACAAAGATCTAGTGGCATCAGAAAAATTGACATTACTGAAAATATTTGTTCAGAGATTTTCCTACGCTTAGGAATTTTCAAGGACAAGTATTACCTATAGTAAGACTAGCTACTAGACTGGCAACCTAGGAATGAGTGAATGACAACCAACGTTGTAAAACTCGGCCTAGGCGGCCGCCAAGGCAAAGCAAGCACTAGTTGCCATTTTAATCGGTGGGCCAACTAGTCGGCCAATTTGTCTACTCGGCCATGTTTAAAATTGGTTGGGCAAACATCGCACAACAGCAAATCAAAAACTAATCAAAAACATCGCACAACAGCATCCAATCTTTGTTTTGGAAAACTATTTCATTTTAGGTACCCTTGAGGGATTTCTAGTGGTACTTAAAGTCTGAATTTCACCACAAACTTCATAAATGTGAGCTAGTTATATCCTCCACTAAAGTGGTAGTCCATTTTCTAGGTTTCAAATATTACCCATATCATCCATCTAGATTTTTTGCTAATCTTCCCTCTTCTACCCTATCTCCAACATGTGCTCACATCATGGTTGCAGTAGGCGCTAGGTGCTAGTCGGGCGGTAGAGTAGTGCCTAACGCCTAGGCGGCTAACTATAAAAATAATAATAATAATAGTGCACGTGTGTGGGTGTATGTCAAATATATATATATATATATATATATATATATATATATATATATATATATATATATATATATATATATATATATATATATATATATATATATAATTTTAAAAAATAGCAAGGCCGACTTGGCCGAGTAAATTCGGCAAACTCGGCCGAATTGGACGAGTTAACTTGGCCGAGTTGGGAGCCTAGGCCGTAGGCCGCCTAGACGGCTGCCTCGGGAGTAATTTTCCTCGGCCTAGGCGCGCCTAGAGCCTAGGCCGATTTTTGCAACAGTGGCTCACATACAATTTGGCCTTTGGACCACTATCATGATCATTTCATTAATTTCTTTAAAAAATAAATAATGATGCCACTTTCTCTAGATAAAATATGAAGGTTTCTTTTCCTCACAATATTTATGAAGAATTGCTCATGAATCATGATATACATTGAGACTCAAAACATCAAATGTAGCCAGAACATATCACCATAAAAAGAAAAACATAAAATAAAGACTAAATACCAATAAATGCAACTACAGCATGCAATAGAACTCCCCCTCTCCCACCCTCAGCAACAAGTGGTCAACGACCTAACGGTATACATAAATAAATTCGTAATGGAAAAACAAACCTAGCTGCGTATCCAACAGGCTTCATCAGACACGCAACACTTACAATCCCTTATAAGTGAATCACAAAAGCATCCTGCAAACATGAGAATTTCACCACATCAAACAACCAGCAAGAAGAATAAAGAAAATAAATAAAGCAAAGTGCAAGAACCGATAACAATAAAGCTTTGCATTCACCACAGAAAGATACACAAATGGATATCTGAAGACGCTGAAAGAAAATGGAAAGCCATACCAGAAGAATTATTACTCCAAGAACAAACAAAAACAGGTAATTAGAACTAAAAAAATACAAGAAAACAGAAAATATAACTTAAACTTTCCTATATTCTATACACAATTATATAATTGCAAAAGAAAAAAAAAAAATGGAAAACTTGGAAAATAGCAAACCCTCAAATCAACAGATCTTCATCCTACATACAAATGTGTGTTCTATCTATGCAAACACATAACGCTATCACACACAATTCAAGCGATCGGAATTATCAAGAAACAGCTACCCAAATCAATACTTCAATAATTAAGGAATCGATGAATACATGAGTATACAGAAATTGGAATTCAGATAAAGCGAGAGTGATTACATAAGAGAAGAACAAAATCCAAGCAAAGGATGGAAAACAGCATTTCAGGAGTTCTGAAGCAATACCTCGTAGGCACGTATATACCGATTAAGAAAATTATGTATTAGCAGTGTGCTACGTTCGCAGTTCTGTAACGTTTGCTTTGCGTTTGGTGGAAGGATATTAGAGATTAGAGATAGAATTAATTCCAAGAATGGTGCTTTACTATTGATATTTATACTACCTCTGTCCTATTTCATGTGTTTTGGTTTGATTAATGAGACTTTATTGAAGTTATTTTTAATTTAATTTTTTATAATATTAAATTTAGTATTAGTATACAAAATGTATATATTTAAAAACTACACTAAAAGTACTATTAAACACAAAAAAAAATTAAAAATAAATAAAAAATACTAAAGAAAAAAGAATTAGTTTAACCATATGAATAATAAGTAGGACAGTAAAATAAGACAGATGTAGTATTTTTTCTAATTTGACCATAAATAATCTATTAGTTATTGATTTAATCGAGGTAAAAATTGATTTGTTATTAAAATGACAAATTGAGTTTATAAACTTCATACACTGGATTCATTATTAGTGCAAATGTGAAGAATATGTTGATGCATAAGTCAATTTGGACTAAACTATTGATAACTGATAAGTCATTGTCTCAAATTTGAGGCAATTATGGGGGTGTTTGGTAAATAACTGTTAGTTAATTGGGTTAGTGAGTTTGATTAATTGATAACATTAACTGATTGTAGGAAAGTGTTTGGTAAATTAGTTGTACTAAATGTAAAATGACTTTTTCAAAAAGTTGATCGAAAAAAGTTATTTTGAGCAGCTTTTTGATTTTAAACATTTCGAAACAATAAATTGTTACGAAAAGTTAATTAATCAATACTCATATTAATTGTTTAATCAAGTCAAACAGTTAATATTGGTCAAATAAGCCAAAATGACTGATAAGCTAAATATGTTAGCAAACAAGGCCATATATCTTTTGTTTCAACATTCTTAAATATGTAAATTTGGAGAGACGATTTTGCTAGCTAATTTTTACGTTCTTATCCTTAAATCTAAAACCGATTAACATTTCGAAACAATAAGTTGTTACAAAAAAAAAAACTAATTAATCAAATAATCATATTGATTGTTTAATCAAGTCAAACAGTTAATAGTTATCAAATAAGCCAAAATTGACTGATAAGCTAAATATGTTACCAAACAAGACTTATATCTTTTGTTTCAACATTCTTAAATTTGTAGATTTGGAGAGTTGATTTGCTAGTTAATTTTTATCCTTAAATCTAAAGCCGATTAAACGAATATATAACCGGATGATCAAATCTGTAACAAAATCAATTGTTAAGAAACCAATTATAATCAAATTAAAAAGTCAATGATTGTAATTAACTCTTTTAGAGATATTATATTCTCCATTTTCCCATTTCATTTTATTTGTTGCTTTATTATCTCCCTCCCCACCCCCACGCTCGATGAATAAACAGGCAATTTAATCCTTTTATTGAAGAAAAAAATCATAAAACCTTTCTTAAATTAATATTTAAAAAAAGTACAATTAAATCATATTGTTACCTATTCAGTGAATAATTGTTAATTTGGAGAACATATGGCATTTGTACACTTATATAAAATCCAAGTATATAATTTTTTAAATTTGTTCAAAACATGTATCCGAATATATAATTTCTTTTTTATTTTTTATTTTCTTTTTAATTAAGCATTTGTTTTTACCAACTACATGGATGGTCATAGGTTCAAATTCATTGTATTTAAAAAACGAAATGTGGTTGTTCTAGACAACCACGAATGTTTGATTAGCAAACATGGTTGTCTCTTTAATTTAAAGTGACGGCCACTAGATGTCTTTAAAGATAGCCGATAATTTTTAAACATTTTCAAAAAAGACAAAAAGAAATGACTATTTAGTTTAATTTAAAAAAAAAAATTAATTATACACTTAAATTCTACATAAGCGTAAAAAAAATACACGTATTTATCAACTCAACAATAACTTGTTGACATGCTAACTGAAATCATTAAAAATTATATTTTTTCTTTTTATTTGTAATAAATTGAATAAAGCTATTCTACTCCCCACATGCATTTCCTTCTTCAATATCTAAAATTGTTTCATCTTCAACTTCAAAAAATATAAATTCAAGATATGAAATAAAACATGTTTCATCTTTGATCTAAGAGGATAAATCTTAAATATATAAAAAATAAAATATTAAATTGAAGGTAGTCGGCAACAACCATCGCAGTTGCATTTATCTCTACCCATTCTTCATTTATAGATTTTTATAGACTCGCTTTTGTAAACATTTTATATCCCTCAAACTTAGAGATTTATTTATGTAAAAAAACAACGATTTATTTTGCACTTTTGCTTTAAAGCAAAGCTGTCTTTTGACTTTAAAAGGTTTGCACACACTTTCGCTTTAAAGCAAAGCCTGAATACTTGCTAATTAATGGGCTAGCTAATTATAATGGGCTACAGTAAAAGTATTTTTTTATGTTTGGTAATATGGTGAAATTAGAATGATTATCAATATTGATACTTAGTTATGTATGATTTTATAATGGAAATAAATGTTTTAAAAATACAAAACCAAAAAACTAAGACAATTGATCATAATATAATATAATAACATCCAAAGCACTAATATGAACACAAAAATCAAAACAAAAATCTAAAAGTACTAATTTAAACTTTAAAATTAGATTACCAAATTGGATAAAATGATACACATTTTAATTAGGGGATACACTAACTATGATTTTGATTCTCATTCCTAGTGTGTAAACCATGAACCAAACACACCCTAAATAAACATTCCTTCTCATTCACATCTTAACTCAGAGATCAGAGAAGGGAATATTGTGAAGACTGAAGACACATATAGACATGATCTTAATGTGAAGCCATAATTATATCAAGAAGATAGAAGAAATCGACCAGAACCCCTATAAAAGATCCAATTCAAGCCAAATCACCTTTCACTGTCTGTCAAAGAAAGCAGTAAAACCAACACACTATGCTGTACACAATTTTTCTTTTTCTATAGTAAAACAATGGAGCTAGTATACAGAGTATATTGATGTCATAGGCATATGCATAATGTAATCATTCAAATAGAGATTAAGGCTACACTTCAAGACCCTAGTCAAAGAACAAGGTAATAAGGATTATGCTAATTTTACCACTCACAAACCAACACTCCATGGTGTGGCATAATCCTAAACATTAATAGAATTAAAATTATAAAAAAAAAAAAAAAAAAAAAAAAAAAAAAAAAAAAAAAAAACTAAAGATAGCTAAGGATACAAACTTGTAACCATCACGAGTTCGAATCCCAGCCTTCTTTGATTGAGCTAGTCAGCTACGCGCAACCTAGGCTGGTTTAACTCCTTATAATCCTCTTTTAGCTAGGGTCACAAGGCGGTGTTTACCCCGTGCACGTGTAGTGAAAACAAGGTAATAATAACAAAGATGGTAGCATAAACAAGCTCTCATATATTATACTCCATAGCTGGTTTCAAAAGTATATAATTTTAGTCTAACCAAAAATGCAGATTGTCCAAGAAAATATTTTCATCGAAAATATGTCTCTGCACTCAGTTGGAGACAATGCATAAGAAGATAAACACCCTTCAGTCAGACTAAGAATTTTCATCACCATTATAGCCAAAGAAGCTATATTTCTAACAACAAGTGTCAATTCATAGCACCTAATCCCTCAAGAAACAACCAAAAAAAGAGCAAAGCCTCAAAACAGACACATAAATCAAAAACCCAATTTTAAACACAAACAAGAAAGCCTAAAAACACAATGTTTTAAACATGATGAGACATGCATCCCATTCTTCCGGTTGTTGTCTTGGAAGCCAGAAGCCCAGAAAGTAGATGTTTTATAATATAAACAACTGCAGAGTAATTTCTAAAACATCAAAGATATCCTCAAAAATACCAGCACATTAGGATCTCTACTAGTAAGCAATTGTGAAACAACGTGGAAGCAAGAATGTATAGAAATAATACACATAAAAAACATCCCTAATTATTAGAAATCATGTTTTCAACGATACCCAATATAGAGATGCCGTTAACAGGTTGACAAAATATCATAGTCTATGTGAGAATCACAATGAAAAATAGACAAAAGATCAAACCTATCAGTACTCAAATTAGCTAATGATAACTGTGAAATCGACTGATAAACCAAGATTTATACGATCTGGGTGGGTGCTGAGCAAAACCGATTGAATTTGGAATTTCGCTTCCTCAGACTGGAGAGAGGAGCTGAGAGAGAGAGGGCTTGGGCTCGGAGTTCATGCCAATGACGATGATCAAGGGGATGAAACCGTAGTGAGTTATTACTTTGGCCTTCTTCGCCGTCCACGTCCCCCACTCCTTCACGAACTTGGACACCGCCACCACCGCTCCTCCGTCGTCATCTTCAGCGGCCGCCGCCACCTTCTTGGTGACCTTCCCCTTCGGCTTTAACATAATCTTGGAAGACATTCTTACCGTCTCGTCTGATTCTTTCTTTTGCGTAGTCAGGAAATCTGCGGGGTGATTGTGATCTGCCTCTGGATCTATATATATTTTGATTGATGAAGAATAGGAGAAGAAAAGTAGAAAACCCTATAGAACCAGGTTCTATAAATTATAAACCTTCCCTCTTGGTTTTGAAAATTCGTTACAAGCCCCACAAGTTTAGGCCTATTTAAACTACAAATTCGATTTGTGATTCTATTTCAATTCGAATTCGAATTTTGATTAGAGTATATTCGATTCGATTTGAATATTATTCGAATATTGGTCACTTTCATTATTGATGAAAACATACAAGATAATGTAGTTTTGAAATATTTTGATTACAAACAATGAGTTTAGAGGAGCAGTGAGATAAAATATTATATTATGATATCATGATGCAAGCTCTTGATTAAAAATGCACATCACTATATATGTTTAGTGTGCATTTTTCAATTTTCATTGTCATCAATATGGTTACTTTTGGGTACACAATTGTGCATATGATGTTCTTTGCATTAACCACACTTTCTTTAAAATCAATTAGCTACCTCATGTCTCAAGGATTCTAGAAGTTTCGTAGCGTCATTTAATCACAATATAATGTTTCGCTTTGAAAATCAATCATGCAAATTCAACTTCCAAATCCCCTGTTAATAATGATCAATGTTGAAGAAATAGTGATGATAAAGAAATACACAGTAAAAGCGGTGAAAATAGAGAGAAACGAGTTGATGCATGATATTGTGAATAACATGTACGATTGTGAAGAAGAAACTTGGAAGCGAGATGAAAAATGAAGACAAAATTGTATTTGGACAAGAAAATGCGAGTAACAGTGAAAAACAAAGTGAAAATTGATAAAAATATGTTAACAAACATTACCCTAGCCTGAAAATGGGTAAAGAAAAACTGATAATGGGCTAACAAAAAAACCATATCTAACAGGGCGTTTGGTTGGAGAGGGGGAATTACGTGGGAAAGGAATTGCAATTCCATGGGAGATGAATTACTGGGAATAAAGTGGAAATTTAAATTCAAGTGTTTGATTTTCCGGAATAGAATTATTGGGAATTTCAATTCCAATGTTTGGTATACATGATAATTGAAAGGGAATAAGTAGTATAAAGTCAAAAATGTCTATTGTTGTTGTTAGACATTAATTTTAAGTTAAAAAATGGAGGGGTAATTTTGACTCATCACTATCTTTTTCTCTTCCTAAAATTTCAGGAATTAAAATTCCAGGGGATATGGGATTTTAATTCCATGAAAATGGAGGAATTACAATTTCATGGAATTGCAATATCTTTCAACCAAACAAGGAAATTTTGTGGCATTTGGAATTAAGTGGGAAGGGAATTTAAATTCCCTCCAACCAAACGCCCTGTAAGTGTTGGGAAAGAATAGTCCAAACAAAGCAAATAAGCTACAATCTATATCTACTATACTAATAAGAGGCCAAAAGAGTTAAGGACTATAATGAATAGAAAAAATGACGGTCAAATTTTTTACTCAAATAAATGGCTCAGATTGATTAGATTTTAATTTTTTTATTGAGATTTCCTAATTTATCCTTAATGAATATGATTATCCGTTAACTTTTCGGTTAATTTTTGTTAGATCACAGTTAACTTACTCATTGATTTCGATAAGAAAGGTCTTAGGTTCGAACCACATCCCAATCAAAGTTGGCATAATTAGTACTATATTTTACTCTCATTAAATTAAATAATAATTTAGTAGCTACAACAAAAAATAAAACATATGTATTTTTTTAATTTAAAATTATGTGTCTACAATGCCTTTATTAAAAAAATTAGTCATTATCAATAAATTAAATAAGAGAAATAATTTCATTAGTTATATTGTTTTTATTTTTATCCAATATAAAAATTCTTTACATTCAAAATTCAAATTCATCAATTGATTATATTCGCTACATTGTCCCTACAATGTCTTTATTAAACAAATTATTCATTATCAATAAATTAATTAAGATAAATAATTTCATTAGTTATATTATCTTTAATTTTCTCCAATGTAGAAATTCTTTACATTCAAATTCATCAATTGATTATATTCACTACATTGTCTATTATCTTTTTTTGTGCACTGTTTTTTAATTAAATATCAAAGTTATAATACAAAATAATGTTATATATTTTTTTACCAAGTATTTTATTAATACCATGAAAAATTTTAAAAAATTTAAAATAATAAAGCCAATTATATTAACTACTTGAGGGATTTCTTGACAAAGAAAGTATTCAAATCACACAACAAATTGAAGTGAGAAACTACCTCGCAATGTCTTTGTTTGACAATCAGCAGTTAGTGGTTAGCGTTAGCGGATTATATTAGCGGATTTGACCAGCGAATTATATCAACGGTTGACAAAAAGATATTTGAAAAAATTAGCTGTTTAAATTAACATTTAAAATAACCTAAGGGTATACATATAATAATAATAATAATAATTATTATTATTATTATTAGCTGTTTAATCACAATATAATGTTTCGCTTTGAAGATCAATCATGCAAATTCAACTTCCAAATCCCCTATTAACAATGATCGATGATAAAGAAATACACGGTAAAAGCGGTGAAAATAGAGAGAAACGAGTTGAAGCATGATATGGTGAATAAAATGTACAATTGTAAAGAAGAAACTTGAGAACGAGATGAAAAATGAAGACGAAATTGTATTTGGGCAAGAAAATGCGAGTAATATAATAGCAAAAAACAAAGTGGAAATTGCTAAAAATATGTTAACAAAAATTACCCTAGCCTGAAAATGGGTAAAGAAAAACTGATAATGGGCTAACAAAAAAATCATATCTTAGTGGTGGGAAAGAATAGTCCAAACAAAGCAAATAATCTACAATCTAATCTAATCTAAATAAAAATCTAATAAGAGCCAATAAAGTTAGGCCCTCTAATGATAACTAAAAAAATGTTGGTGTAATTGTTGGTTGAAATGAATAGTTCATATTTTTTTGATTTTAGTATTTATTATTATTATTATTATTATTTTATTTTACCATATATTACGTCAGTTACTTTTTCTAAAGGATTAATATTTGATGTACCGCCAATGTATAGATGCTATACATGGGCGGTGAAGGAGAAGATGCCACATCATTAAAAAATAAAGTCAATATTAACCATGTCATTTTTTGCAAAATATTTAAAACTTGTATTTTATTAGGAAAGTCTTTTATTTCTAATTAACAAAATATATCTACTTTTCTAAATATATTTTATTAATTAGAAATAAAAGAGTTTCATAATAATTAGAAATAAAAGAGTTTCCTAATAAATATGTTTATGAAAGTAGATATATTTTGTTAATTAGAAATAAAAGAGTTTACTAATAAAATACAAGTTTTAAATATTTTGTAAAAAAGAACGTAGTTAATATTGACTTTGTTTTTTTAATGATATGACATCTTCTCTTTCACCGCCATTGTATAGCATCTATACATCGGCGGTGCATCAAATATTAATCCATTATATAAATCATATTCTCATGGAGCTGTGGATTGAGAATATAGCTGGTTTATATATTTTATGTTTCTACCCTAATGTATGCAAGTGTTTGTAGTCCAACGGTCAGGATAATTGCCTTCCAAGCAATAGACCCGGGTTCGAATCCCGACAAACGCAGGTGCTTTTTCTTGTTTTTCTTGTTGTTCTTGTTCTTCTTGTTGGGATATGTAGGAATGATGTCGAAAAAGATCAGAAGGAGAATGCAATATTTGTGTCCTATTACGCAAATTGAACCTGCGAATAAAGCTCAAACGAAGAAAACAGAATGGAGAGCTTGTGTGTAGCGCATTTAGACAGAATGCCGTACAAAGCCAACGTCTCTCCTCACCACAGAAAAAGCGAAATAAAATGATATGATCGTGGATCAGAAAATACATATTACGACAAGGAAGTTTGAGCGACAGACGGGTGCGCACATAGTTTCCTTTACATAGATAATAATAAGTAAGATAAAAGAACATTCTAACCATGACTCTAAAACATAAGATAAAAGAACGTTATAACCATGACTTTAAAACATAAGTAATATAACCATGGCTTTAAAACATGTTACGAACAAGGAAGTTTGAGCGATTATAAAAAAAAATAGGACTGAAAAATAAAGTGACAACCAAAATGTTGTCACACTTTAGTGCTTTACACATGTGCGAACCAAACCGGACAGACGGGGTGCACACATGATTTTCCTTTTTTTCCTCTATAAAATTTCAAAAGGCCTAATTTTAAGAGATGGTATGTTTTTTTAACCCTTTATTTTGGTATAATTGCTATATTATTGGGTCTAATGGGGTGTTTGGTATAACGTAATTGCAATGTCATTCTTACCAAACTCTATAGAATTACAATTTCATGATTTGTGGATTTGTAATTTCATGATAAATTACTATTTTACTATTATTATTAAACAAAAATATTTTAATTTTTATTCACTTTTTCCCTTTCAGTTTTTGATCATTTTATTCTGTTTATCAAATAATTTAAATTTTTATTTTATTTTTTTCTCATAGAATTACAATTCATTTTCACTAATTCCAACCAAACGCCCTATAAATTCACAAAATTAGAAGTCATGAGTACAAAGTATAAAAGCTAAAATCTTATGAGGACGAAATTCGAAATTTCTATAATTGGGTTTTGTCTCCGATGCTCCTTCGCCAGTCCGCCCCTCACTATATACGCTTCTATCATCTCATTATTTCTGTGACGAGAGAAGTGAAAAACCTGTTTTGAAGAAGAAATAGAGAAAAATGGGTGGAGGAATGGAAGCTAACAAGAACAAGTGGATCGAGGATTGGGGGGCGGCTAGGGAGAATCTGGAGCACAACTTCAGGTGGAACCGCCGCAACTTCGCCCTCGTTGGCCTCTTCGGAGTCGCCCTACCTATCTTGATCTACAAGGGCATCGTCAAAGAATTCGTAAGTACTTCTCTAGTCTATGTGTTACGCATTTCGGATCTGATTCTTCTGTGCCCTAATTCTTGTTGATCTTGATTACCCTCGTTTCTTGGACCCGGAAAAGACCTCCCCATATTAATTGTTCTAATCATTCTTCAATTCCTTATTTCATAATTTAAAGCTAGCTGTTATGTGGAATTTAAATATTAGGGATTATTGCCTTTTATTTTATACTTTTTTTGGGTGTGAATTTTACCATCTTCGGACTCGGAAGCAGTTGATTATGAAATTTGTTTTGTATTTGGGGGTTTGATCCAATTGATTATGAAATTTGTTCTTTCCTTGTATGTGTTTGTGCTAATAACTGAGATTTCATGGTCTAATGATCCACCATGCTCATCTGACATGTTTTCTATGGGGTATATCTATTTTGTGCATTTGAAAATTAAACTCTTTGAAGCAATTCACCTGGTTTCTTTTAAGTATGCACGTATTAGCTTTCCATTGATTTATTTGAAATAGCAAAATATGTGCCCAGTTAGAGAAGTTGATTTCTATAGTGCTATTTTGTAATAACCACAATCAACTATTGACTAACCCATGGTCGCCCGAAGAGGGCCTAGCGCCTAGGCGGCAATTAATCGGCCTAATCTAATAAATTATAAATTCTCTAGGTTCTCTAGGTGGTTCGCTCGTTCTCATACCCAATTGAACCACACAAATTCAACATTAAACTTGTAAAATCTACTCCACCCTGTAAAATATTTTTGCACATAGCACATAGGAGCCGATAATTGGCATATAATATAAACCCTTTAAATATTTTAATCTTTTCTTAGCAATAAATTGTAATCATATAGAAACATAACTCAAATATGAAATACTCAGAATTTCCAACAATCATAGTTCCCCCAAAAAAAATTGTCCTTTTATTCACTATCCGTGCCTAGGCATCTGTGTATTTTTTTTAATTTTTTTTTAAAAGTTTGTTAATTTTTTATTTTTATTTTTATTTTTAAGACTAATAATTATAAACTATTTAATACTTTAATAGGTAATACTAAAATATTAAATATTAACTAAAAAGCATCTAGAGTTTGAACAATTTAAGGTTATTTCGCTCAAAACGATGTTGTTTTGAGTGAAATAACTCATTTAAAAGAAAAGAACAATAGCTAATCGGCCGACTAGGCGGCCTAGTAAGTGCCTAGGAGGCGTAGTCCACGTCTAGGATGCCTAGGCGCTTAGGCGGCTGCCTAGTTGGCCGGCCGCATAGACCATTGATTATGGTGAAACGCTCGGCGGGCGGGCGGCGCCTAGCCTAGGCGGGACCATTATACCAAACAAGTATTGAGGTGGCTTGGAAATGCCCAGTGATAAAGGGACAGTGCCTGATTTACTATACATTTAATCTGATGGAATTACTGGAGGACTTTATTGTTTACATATTAGCATAAGCTCTTCCTTATCTCTCTTTCTTTGTTTGATAGACTTCATTTTATTAAATCTTTCAAGCAGTAAGGGGGCGCAACTAAGTTGAGTGTAGCTGTTTAGTCTAGGCATTTTTAATTTGACACTTAAAAGAGAATAATATGCATTCTTTAGTTTAAATCACAAATTCAAGAAAATCAACTCCAAGTAGCTCATGTCCGTATCAATGCTTCATTACACATTTACAGGTGTGAAGAATGCATTGACTAACCTCTTTTTTATATAGGGGTTTTCCAGATGCAATTGTTGTTTTTGCTGCTCACTGTTTTCCTGCTACTAAATTATTTACCAGGATACCTTTATGTACTTGTATTACATGTTGATTCTTTGGCAATAATATTATTATTATGTATTTATATATATATATATATATATATATATATATATATATATATATATATATATATATGAAAGTAGTACTGACACACTGGTTACTTTTACATTGACAGCATATGCAAGATGAAGATTGGGGCAGACCACACAGGAAATTCTTGTGAGTCTCTCTGTCCGGAGCATTATGTAATAATTTTGGGAGAACTGGAAGTGATTTTATTTCAGATCCTATCAACTGGTTGAATTTTGAGTTTATTAACTTTTAATAATCTTAACTTGGTTTCAAAGCCTGGCTGTGCTTGACTATCTTAGCTTCAATTCTTTTATATTACAAGTACACTGTATTTAAACTTGCTTAATATCTCTACCTTCTAGTTGTGTGCTCTCTCTCATATGCTGATATGCCTTTGGTTAAATCAGATTATTACACACTTGAATTCAGTTGCAAGCCTAAACTTGAAAGCCTCAATTTTGGCTGTGGGTATACATATATATAGTGATCTACATGTCTCGGTTATCCTTGACAACAAAAAGTAATAATGAGTTAATACCCAAAATCGTCTTCGACTATAGTGGTTTTTCTCAATTTTGTCCTAAACGACTTTGGTGACTTAATGTAGTCCCAGAGTTTTGTGTTTTTATTCAATTTTGTCCCAGATTTTTGTGTTTTTGCTCAATTTAGTCCCACATTTGTTATTCTGCCCATTTGTTGTTAAATAAATAGACAATTCAGTAATTTTAATATTGGCATCTCTTTATTCATAGACATGTGAAGTGCGAAATCCCTCTTTTTTTACGAATTACTCCCAGAATCACTTCTAAAGCTGCAAATATAAATTTGATTCGTAGGTCTGAGAGTAACTCTGGGTGTAATTCGTGTAAGAAAGAGAGATTTCTCACTTCGCAGGTTGAAAGTAAAGAGAGGTCAATATTGATATTATTGAAGTGTCCCTTTATTTAACACCAATTTGACGGAATAACAAACGGAGGACTAAATTTAGCGAAACACAAAAGTCTGAGACTATATTAGGTCACCAAAGTTGTTTAGGATGAAATTGAGCAAAACCACTATAGTCGAGGACAATTTTGGATATTAACACATAAAGTAATCATCAAATATTGGTAGGAAGATTCAAAAATTAAGCTCTCTACTTTTTAGAATTGATTAATACTCATAGTTCAAGAGAGTGGGGATAATCTTGTGGAGGTCTATTCCCCCATACTATTTACACCCCCCCCCCCCCACCCGATGCTTTCTTCTTTTTAAAAGTGGATCTTATTTATTGTCATATTATTACATTTACAATTTACAATTCGCGAACTATTTTCTCTACAATTATACAATTACATCCTACTTTCAATAATAATAATAATAATAATAATAATAATAATAATAATAATAATAATAATAAATAAATATATATATATATATAAATAAAAAAGTAGGCCCATCTTGTCAAATGACGAAACGTTATGCTGTGTAACTGTGTGCACCATGCAAGGTGCACAGAATTCTAAACTTCTAATTCATAATTTTTATTTTTATATTATAAATTCATAATTTCTATATTGTAGATTCATAAAATCTATACTGTAGATTCATAATGTCTAAAATCGTAGATTCATAATTTCTATACTGCGGATTCATACAGTTTAGAAATTATGAATCTACAGTACAGAAATTATGAATCTACAGTATAGATATTATGAATCTGCAGTATAGAAATTATGAATTTACTGTATTTAAATTATGAATCTACGGTTTAGAAATTATGAATATGCAATATATATTTTATGAATCTACAGTATAGAAATTATGAATCTATAGTATAGAAATTATGAATTCAATTCTGTGTACACCTTGCATGATGCACACGGTTGCACAGGATAATGATCCAACCAACTGAACACCAACGAATAAAGATTATTTGTGTTTGTTTGTTTAGATTTTTAAAGTGTTCGCATTCGTGTTTTTTTTTTTTTGAAAATGTTCGCATTCGTGTTTGTTTATTAATATTTTTGAAAAGAGCAAATTACACTTTTGGTCCTATAACTATACGGGGTGTGTTAATTTTGGTCCGTGACTTTTAAAACTAACAATTTAGTCCTTTAACTATGTTTTTTTTTAGCAAATTTGGTCCTCCTGGTCAAATCACCGGTGGAAATTGGCCGGAAAAACTTAAACCTTTTTAATTTTTTATTCATGAGGGTAAAATGGTCTTTTTACGTAGTTGCTTCTTCTTCTTCGTGTAGCTCACCGCCGAGCCACCATTAACCCACCGTTGCTGCTCTTTTCGGCAATGGTCACTGTGAAATCGGGCTTCGTTACCACCATATCTCATCATCTCGAAAATCGCATCAAAACCGTCGTCGTCCTCATCCTGAACTCCGAAGTTCAAGTTGATGGGGTCCTTATGTGCCCTGGAGAACGTTGTCGCAGTGTGGTAGCTGGTGAACTGTTGCATGACGGCCTGGAAGCTCACGTCGTTGGTGTTAAGATGAGTGGTCGGAGTTTTCTTGGAGGATGTGCCTCCGCACCAGTTTCTCTACGCCGCCGTTTCTTGGGCTTAACTCGCTGCCGAAACTGCTATGGCTAGTAGTGTTGGTCAATACAGCAGTGGCGGTGGTGGGTTAATGGTGGCTCGGCGGTGAGTGCGCGAAGAAGAAGAAGAAGCTACGTAAAAAGATCATTTTGCCCTCATGAATAAAAAATTTAAAAAGGTTTAAGTTTTTCCGGCCAATTTCTACCGGTGATTTGGCCGGAAGGACCAAATTTTCTAAAAAAAGTATAGTTAAAGGACTAAATTGTTAGTTTTAATAATCACGGACCGAAATTAACAAGCTCCCTATAGTCATAGGACCAAAAGTGTAATTTGTTCTTTTTAAAGATTTTGTTCGTGTTCATTTGGTAAGCATTTACTAGTGTTCGTTAACATTTGCGAACACGTTCAGGAATGCTAACCAAATTATAAACACATGTACATGTCTATCGTTTTTTTTTTTTTTTTTTTTTTTTTTTTTTGCATCTCTCTAGGGACTGAACGATAACTTATCAAAACTTCAAAATCTAATCTGAATAAGAAGACAATTTATAATTGGTAGGAACGTTGGAGTGGTAGGAAAATTATAATTAAAATTTAAAAGAAATTAGGAAAAATTAAAGTAGTATCTTAAAATTTAAAAAGTAAAATAAAATAAATTGTATTTAAATGAATCTGATCGTGAACAATCTTAAACAAACACTATACGAGCATGTTTCTGAACATTATTAAACGAGCATGTTCATGAACATTATTAAACGAATACTAACAAATGCATTCACGAGCTCTTAGCAAACAGACATACAAATGTTCAGACTATGCTCTTTTAGTAAACGAATTCTAAAATTTGCCCATTTATGTTTGTTTACCTTAATACATGAACATAAACGAACGCTTACCAAATATGAACACGAGTAATTTATCAAAAACTTTATTCGGTAACACCCCTAACTAAAACAATTGAGTTTCATGACTATATCAATACTATTTTTTTTTTTGACTCTATTACAAGGTAGTATCTGTTCTATACTTTCTCTATCTATTGCAGCACAAAAAGTCAAGACCCCACTACCGGGGTTCAATACTGTGACCTTTCTTCAAGGGAAGCCACAGAGGTGCCATCTGAGCACAATGTACTTGGCATATCGATACTAGTTATTAACACTTGCAATATGCGATTAAAAAAAAAACTCAATGAATAAAAATAATAGTGAAAATTATATAATCAAAATAAATGTAAAATTATATGATCTTATAAGAGTTAATACTGGCCAAGGTCCCTCGAGTTTGGTAGTTTTGCCACATATCGTCCTAAACTTTTAGTTGTCTCAGAGTAGTCATCTGAGTTTGTAATTTTGACCTTCTGCGGTCCTTCCGTTACTATCTCACCTTTGCACCTTGAATTCCAGATGTAAAATGATAATTTCTTGTTGTTTATTGATTTTTAAAGATAAAATAAATATTTAATTAAAAATAATACACCCGCCGGAAACGAAGAAGACTTCTTCGGCAGGGTCCCTTCGTCTCCTAACCGGAGACGAAGGTACCTTCTTCATCTTTGGCCATGGAGACGAAAGTGCCTTGGTATTTCTAGCTTTAAAAATCAATCAACAACGTGAAATTACTTGAGGAACCTTGGCTGAGAAAAAATTATAATAGATAAAATATAAAGAACAAATTGCACTTTTGGTCCTGTGACTATTAGGGTACTGATAATTTGAGTACGTGACTTTCAAAACTCTCAATTTAAACCTTTAACTATATAATTATTAGTAGATTTGGTCCTGCCGGTCAAATTGCCCGTCAATTTTGGCCGGAAAAATTAAAACTATTTTTAATTATTTAATTATGAGGACAATTTGATCATTTTAGAGTCTTCTTCTTCACTAGCCGGCGAAGAAGCTGAGAGGAGGTGCAAGGAATGCAAGGAAGAGAAACAGGAGGAGAAGAATGATAGAGACGACAAATATGACAGGGATTAGAGACCTTGAGCGGTGGTGCAGGTGACGCCGCCGTTGCAACGACATATGGAATTGGTGGCGGAGTTGGTCGTCCTACTCGCTTCCGTTGTCCTCGGGCGAAGAGATTTTACAGAGAAAAAGGAATCGGCGGGAGCCCGATTCGTTCTGCGGAGGTTAAAAAAAAATGGCGTAACGGCGTCTTGGCGTTTCTTCTAGCCGGAAAGGATCAAACGATACCGGCGACAACTCTATTCTCGCCGGCTCAGTGAAGAAGAAGACTCTAAAATGACTAAATTGCCCTCATAATTAAATAATTAAAAATAGTTTTAATTTTTCCGGCCAAAATTGGCCGGCAATTTGGCCGGCAGGACTAAATCTGCTAATAATTATATAGTTAAAGGTTTAAATTGAGAATTTTGAAAGTCACGTACTCAAATTATCAGTACCCTAATAGTCATAGGACCAAAAGTGCAATTTGTTCAAATATAAACAATCAATAAGTTTTGTATAATTAAAAAATATATAAAATTAGAAATAATTTATAAATATACGTTAAAATAAACACAATTAGGGCTGTTAACGAACCGAACATAAACGAACGGAGGTTGTTCGTGTTTGTTTGTTAAGAATTTTGGAGTGTTCGTGTTCGTGTTTGTTTGTTAAGGTTTTTGAAAATCCTGTTCGTGTTCGTTTGTTAATCGTTCATTAGTGTTCGTTAATGTTCGCAAACACGTTCACGAACGTGTTCGTTTACGTTAACGAACATGTTCGCGAACGTGTTTGTTAATGTTCGCGAACACGTTCACTAACGTGTTCGTTAACGTTAACAAACACGTTCACAAACATGTTCGTTAACAAGTACGTTCACGAACATGTTGGTTTGCGTTCATGAACACGTTCGTGAACCTTTAATAATCAAACACCTGCACATGTTCATGATCACAATTCGTTCATGAACAACAAATAATCTACGTTCAAGAAATAATCAACATTCATGATCACAATATAATCTATGTATATATATGTTCGTGAACATTATTAAACGAACACAAACGAGCTTGTTCACGAACATTATTAAACGAACACAAACGAGCTTGTTCACGATCTCTTAGCAAACGAGCATACAATTGTTCAAGCTCTGTTCGTTTATAAACCGAACTCTAAATTTTGTTTGTTAATGGTTCATTTATCTTAACAAACGAACATAAATAAACGCTTACTGAATACGAACACGAGTAATTTGCCGAAAGCTCTATTCGCTAACACCTTTAAACACAATGTATAAGTTTTTATATTTAGCGGCATTATTTAATGATGTGAACAACTTAGGGAGAAAAAGAAAAAGAGGGATACATTTGGAAAGAATTTATGAGTGTCGAAAAAAGAAAACTATAATGAACAAGTTAACACTCAATTTATGGGATAAAAGCCTTTCAAATGAGCTGCAAGTATTGTAGTTGCGCACGTCAGTTACCTTTTTAAAATATTATTGCCACAATGCATACAATTTTTGCGATTTACTTATTTATTTATTTTGGGATAATAAGCCTTTCAAATGAGCTGCAAATATTATCAAAAACTCTCTCTACCTAGGGTTTCTCTAGGTCATCGAGTCGGTCCATCGACGTTTCCCTGCGATTTATCCGTTTTTTCTATACTGCGTACAAGACGGCTTCTGGCGTGCATGCGAGATGGCGTCGACGACTGTGGAACCGGAGGTAGCGGGCCTTACGGCCAGGTGGGCGGATATTGTTTTGGAGGAGGAGGCAACGACATTTATGCCGGATGTGGGGACGGAGGGCGACCCGGCTGGCAGCGTCGAGGAGGAGAGCTGGGGGGTCGTGGGGAGATTCTTGACACGGAAGCTAGTCAGGCTTGAGTTCATGAGTCAGGTCATGGCGTCGGTATGGCAATCGGTGAGTGGTGTTGAGGCTACGGAGGTAGAACCTGACCGATTCCTGTTCGTTTTCCACCATGTAACGGACATGGAACGTGTTCTGAATGAGGGGCCTTGGTCCTTTGATAATAGTACTCTGGTGTGTAAACATGCAAGTCCCTGACGGAGTGATGCCGGTTGATGTGATATTGGATTCGGTGGATTTATGGGTCCAGCTGCATGGACTGCCGAAGGGATACTCGTCCAATCGGATATTGGAACAGATTGAAAATTTCTTGGGGAGTTTTGTTAAGAGTGATGATCGTTTTGACAATGTCCCATGGAAGATGTTTCACCGTATTAGGGTTTCGTTGTCTGTTGATAAGCCCTTGAAAAGACGGATGAACTTTATTAAGCGGGACAAGACAAGTTGCTGGGTCACGTTTAAGTATGAACGACTACATACATATTGTTATTTTTGTGGGATGCTGGGGCACTCGTATCAATTTTGCCGTGGTGCGAGGGATTCAAGGATACCGGTGGAGGAATATTTGTATGGCCCGGAGTTGCGTGCAGGGGGGAGCCGTGGCCCTAGGCCGGTGGGCGGTAGTTGGCTGTTGCCACCGGGACGGCATGCAGCGGCGCGAAAACCGCAGGTGGATCACGTGGCCGTGGGGCGGTCATTGGATGTTGGGAGTCGGGCCAATGATGCCGTAGAGGCAGAATTGGTTGCGGTTGCCAAGCGACGCCGGGAGGAGGTGAGTGATGGGGGACGGACATTTGGAGGAGGGGATGTTGTTATGGCCGAGCTTTCAAAAAACTTGCAGCAGGCGGGATTTGGTTCCCACACCCGCCCAGACCAATGAGTACCCTCAGTTGGAACTGTCGTGGCTTGGGTAATCTACGGACAGTTCGTGAGATTGTGGACATGGTTTCCCGTAAGCAACCTGACTTTGTATTTCTGATGGAGGCTAAGGTGGGACGCGATCACGCAGAGCGGATTCGTGTCAAAATCGGTTATGAGGGACTATTTTATATTGATAATGATGGATTAAGTAGTGGTTTAGCATTATTGTGGAAAAAGAATAGTACGGCGCGGCTGCTAAGTTACTCAACGAACTATGTTGATGTTGAGGTAACTATTACTGACTTTCCAGGATGGCGAATGACGGGTTATTATGGTTTCCCCGAACGAACAAGGCCCGCTAAATCATGGGATCTTTTGAGAACATTATCGGGCAGGTCGAATCTCCCATGGGTTGTTATAGGGGATTTTAATGATTTTCTATATCAATATGAGAAGAGAGGGGGAATCCGCATCCGAATAGCCTCCTACGCTGATTTGGGGAAGCTATTGAGGACTATGGGCTTGCTCAGATGCCTATTAATGGATATCCGTACACTTGGGAAAAGGGAAAGGGGACAGTAAACTGGATGGAGGAGAGGCTTGATAAGGTTCTGGTAACAAATGAGTGGCGAAGCATGGTAACAGGGGCCAGGGTGGTGAATCTGAGGACCCGAAAATCTGATCATTCGGCTCTATTTCTGGGAATCCATGAGTCATTTGGGAGGAGTGGGCCTGGTAGGAGGGGTTTCCGTTTTGAGATGGCATGGTTGCACGATGAGGGGTGCAGGGATGTGGTTGAACAGTCCTGGCAGGAGGGAAGGGGGCAGGGTTTACAGAACTGTATTCAGTACTGCGGGAACCGGTTAACACGATGGGGTGGAGACCGGTATCACAAGTACGGAAAACGGATTAATGAACTGACAAGAGAACAGCAGCGACTGAGGGGGCGTACTGACCCGGTCTCACTTGCAGAGTTCCAGCGCTTAGAACAGCTACTAAGTTGCACCGAATCCTAGGAGGATGCCTACTGGAGGCAGAGAGCCAAGCAACACTGGCTTAAGGAGGCTGATGCCAATACAAAGTTTTTTCACAGGTATGCCTCTCACCGAAAAAAGAAGAATACTATTTCTAGATTAATGAATGATAATGGGGATTGGGTGGATGGGGAGCCTATGAAAAATGTTATTTTGCAATATTACAATCGTATTTTCTGCTCTGGAACTCCGGGAACTGGGGAGGGGTTTTTTGAGGGGATTGTTCCGCGAGTCGCTCAGGCACAGAATGAGTCATTGCTGCAACCTTTTGAACTGGAGGAGGTTAAGAGTGCACTATTTACAATGTTACCGGATAAGGCACCGAGCCCGGATGGAATGAATCCGGGCTTCTATCAGCATTTTTGGGATGTGGTAGGGGGGATGTTGCGAGCTTCATAATAAATTGTATTGAATCATGTGATTTCCCGCCTGGTTTGACTGATACAGATGTTGTTTTGATCCCTAAGAATAACACCCCTGAATTTGTGACTGACTTGCGCCCTATTACTCTCAGTAATGTGGTTTATAGAATTATGGCAAAAATGTTATCCAATAGAATGAAGCCATTAATGGAGGAAATAATATCGGAGTCACAAAGTGCCTTTATCCCGGATAGACTGATAACAGATAATATCTTATTAGCCGCGGAAGTGGGACATTTTTTGAACAGGAAACCGTGTGGAATGGGGGATGGAGTGCTCTCAAACTGGACATGGCGAAGGCATATGATCGTATGGAATGGTCTTTCCTTCGTAAAATGATGCTGGCTTTGGGGTTTCATGGTGGATGGGTGGAATTGATTATGAAGTGTGTAACTTCAGTTTCTTACAATGTTCTGGTGAATGGCTCAAGATGTGATCCTATTGTACCCACACGTGGTTTAAGGCAAGGGATCCTTTGTCCCCATATCTATTTATTATTTGTGCAGAGGGTCTGTCCCTATTACTACAACAGGCGCATAGTGTGGGGTCAATTCATGGATGCAGGGTAGCGAGAGGTGTTCCCCCAATCTCTCATTTATTTTTTGCAGATGACAGCCTTTTATTTTTTAAGGCTAATGTGGAGGAAGCAAATGAAATTAAAAGGTGCCTATTAGTGTATGGGGATCTGTCTGGGCAGGCAGTTAACTATCACAAATCAAGCATATGCTATAGCAGAAATACAAGTAATGTTGATAGGGAAGTTGTGGCTCAGATTTTGGGAGTGACGCAGGCCCCGAATTTTGGCAAGTATTTGGGACTCCCCTCTTTTGTTGGAAGACACAAGAAAGCAACTTTTGCATATATTGAGGATAAAATCCGCCAAAGGATTGGATCGTGGAACAAAAGACTGCTGTCGCAAGCGGGTAAGGAGATTCTGTTGAAAACTGTAGCACAATCTATGCCTACGTTTTGAATGAGTGTCTTTTTGCTACCTATATCAGTGTGTACGGCAATAGAGAGAACTATGAATCGTTATTGGTGGGACTCTGGAACTGACAGGCGAATACATTCGAAGGCATGAGATAAATTGTGTGTCCCCAAGAAGTATGGAGGATTGAGTTTTAAAGATTTGCGTGCTTTTAATCTAGCAATGCTGGGGAAACAGGCATGACCGATGCTGACTAAACCTGAATCCCCAGTGGCTCGTGTGTATAAGGCCCGTTATTTTCCCAAGGGATCTTTTTTTGATGCACAGGTAGGGAACAACCCCAGTTTCTGTTGGCGGAGTATTATGGCAGTAAAGAGTATAGTTTGTAGTGGGGTAAGGCGCAGAATTGGTAACGGGAAGTCTACACTCATATGGACTCACCCCTGGTTCCCTATGATACAAACAGAAATGCCAACACAGCTGCAGGAAGCCAGAGTGGCAGGATTGATTGATCAACAAACCGGTACATGGGATCCTTCGATCTTAACAGATTTATTTCAACTTACTGATGTGGCGAATATTATGAAAATACATGTTTCCCCGGATTATGATGATACCCGGTATTGGCATGGAGATCCAAGAGGCGTGTATTCTGTTAAAAGTAGGTACAGGCTAATGGGACATTTGCAAAATGGTTAGCCCTACGGAAGCTCAAAATCCCCCCAAAATGGAGAATGTTTCTCTGGAGAGCCATTAGTGATATATTGCCTACCACTACTAATTTACTTATAAAGAGGGTGAATGTGGACCCACGTTGTGTCATGTGTGGAATATCTCAAGAAGACACAATGCATACCTTAGTGTTGTGTGAGTTTGCAAAAAACATTTGGGAACAATCCAACCTTACGATTCCCAATATAGCCACAAATATTTTTCATGTTTGGTTTGGTGAACTCCTAAATGTTCTAGACTCTGATGGGATGTTATATGCAGCATCGATTCTTTACAATATTTGGAGAGAAAGGAATGGGTCGGTTTGGGAAGCAACACTGCCACGCCCGGGGACCGTGCTCAAAATTGCCGCCGCTGCCAAACTTGCGTGGAGATGGACGCATCTCGCACCTGCGGCCCGAATCACTCCTCTGCCAACCGAACCACCACTGATGCAGGAGGAGGCCGAGCTGCACGGTACCGAACTGCACGCTGCCGAACCATCACATGTACCGCCAAGGAGGATCTGTCGAGTCGATGCGGGATATATGCAAGAAACGGGCCAAGCCGCGGTTGGGGCAGTTTTGCTCGAAACGAATGTAGGTTACGTTTCGGCTTATGGCGGACCACTCCCGAATTGCTCCTCGCCACTTATGGCTGAGGAGTTGGCATGTAAGGAGGCTCTATCATGGTTGAAGGATCGGGGAGAACAGAATGTCGAGATATATACAGATTGTTTGACACTACACCGCTATCTTACTACACCATCCGTTGTGTTGCGCACTTATCTTGGCTATGCCATTGATAGCTGCAGGCTTATTGCATCTTTATTTCAGTCTTGTTCGTTTAATTTTATTCCTCGATTAGACAATTATTTAGCTCATGCTTTAGCTAATCGGCTTACCAGCAATCTGCTGCTATGTATTGAGATCTTCTCCCGCCTGACATTATTTCAGCCTATTTCTAATGAAGCACCATATATTTAAAAAAAAAAAAAAAGAGCTGCAAATATTATATTGTAGTTGCGCATACATCCACTTTAATTACTTAACACTCTAATGGGGAACGTTATGTCGTGGAATCGTGCCCACTTTGTAAGGTGGGCACTATTCCATATTTATAATGTTTTATACTGTAGATTCATAATTTCTATACTGTAGATTTATAAAATTTATACTTTAGATTCATAATTTCTATACAGTAGATTCATAATTTCTATACTGCAGATTCATAATATCTGTACTGTAGATTCATAATTTCTGTACTATAGATTCATAATTTCTAAATAGTATAGTTATCAAATTATGAACATATAGTTTTGTGATTTGTGAAAACATAGTTCTACAATTGAAAAAATGAACATAAAAAATTATGAACATATAACTCTATAATCATGAATCTACAATATAGAAATTATGAATATGGTACTGTGTGGGCACGTTTTCATAGCATAATTTGCCAATTAAAAAATGTGTATGTGGGAATGCATTTGGCATGTACTTTAGCCGTACGTTAGAGGGCAAATTATTCTGTGGACCTGGATCCACTTTGCAAGGTAAATTCGGATTTAAAAATACACAATTTATATATTAAATATTCACAATTTACACATTGAATGTTCATAATTTACATACCGAATATTCACAATTTTATATACTGAATGTTCACAATTCAAATTGTGAACATTCTGTATATAATTAAATTATGTATTTTGACTCAAATACACCTTGCAAGGTGGACCTTGGTCCATGTCTCCATGACATAACTATTGCCTTTAAATACAAGAATTATTCCAAATTTTAAGTAGAAAACAAAAAATGAAGAAGAAGGAGAGATTATATTGAAAAGAAAGCAAAAATATAATGAAGGTGAATGTTAAGAGGTCTTACGTAGTTAAACCATCAGAGCCAACATGGAGTGGGCTTCTCTCCTTATCCGAGCTTGATCAGCTCGGAACCTTGATGCACGTTGAAACCCTCTATTTCTACTCTACTCCTTCCACATTATCCACAGACGCCATTATCGAAACCTTGCGACTCTCTCTCAGCCAAGTCCTGGTGCATTTTTACCCCTTGGCCGGTCGCCTGAGCTGGACTGGCGGCGGCGGCTCAGCCCTCGCGCTCAACTGCAACGCCGCTGGCGTCATCCTCGTAGAGGCGGAATCCGACGCCGTGTTGGCCGATGTCGGGGACTTCTCGCCCTGCCCCGAGTTTAACCACTTGGTTCCTAGCGTAGACTACAGCGATGATGATCGTATTCAGGATATTCCCTTGTTCGCGGGGCAGCTCACTAAGTTCAGATGCGGAGGGATTAGCCTTGGGTTTTCAATGAATTTTTTCATTTATTACGTTGTTTCCATTATTTTCACAATTATAATGGTTTAATTATTCTTAGAATTTGGTAACCATTTTCTATTTTTAAGTATATATTAATTTGTGGTAACAATTCATTATATATTAATTAATTTCTATATAAAATTTTGTTATCAATTAAGCTTTATTAATTTTTTTTACCAATTAATTAATATTCATATTAGTTTGAACGGGGAGTTGAAGATGATGATTTTACTTTTATTAACAGTATAGATTATTATTACTATTAAGATTAAGATTAGTAATTTTAATCTAGAATTGTATTAGGAATAAGAAAGTATTTTAATATACAATGATAGTACGGATAGGAATAGTATTAACAATATTGGGTAAACCTTAATAGAATAGGAGTAGGATTTTGTTTTTTATATATAAATAGAGATAACTACACTGCACTCTTGTTTAGTGTTGTAACTTCTTAGATGCATATTCTTCTCATTGTAAGGCACCTGTTAGGAGTGATCTGGTTCCCTTTACTGAAGAATCAGCAGCAACGTTGTCTAGTATACATTCTTCTCTGTGTGTGTTTCCTTCTCCATCTCCAATTAATTGTGAAAAATGGATAGGTACAAGATAATTAAGGAAGTTGGTAATGGTAGTTTTGGAAGTGTGTGGCGAGCACAAAATAATGAGACTGGTGAAGTGGTAGCAATAAAAAGAATGAAGAAGAAATATTTTTCATGGGAAGAATGTATGAACTTAAGAGAAGTGAAGTCTTTGAGGAGAATGAGGCATTCAAATATTGTGAAGCTAAAGGAAGTGATCAAGGAAAATGACATCTTATTTTTTGTGTTTGAATACATGGAGTGCAACCTATATGAGCTTATGAAAGACAGATCAAAGCTTTTCTCAGAAAGTGAAGTGAAAAACTGGTGCTTCCAAGTATTTCAAGGTCTTGCATACATGCATCAACAGGGATATTTTCATTGTGACCTTAAACCTGAGAACTTATTGGTTTCAAAAGATTATGTGATTAAAATAGCTGATTTTGGTCTCGCTCGGGAGATTAATTCTGAACCACCATACACTGAATATGTTTCAACACGCTGGTATCGGGCCCCTGAAGTTCTTCTCCAGTCTCCAACATATGGGTGTGGTGTTGATATGTGGGCAATGGGTGCAATAATGGCGGAACTGCTTACTCTTCGCCCTCTGTTTCCAGGCTCAAATGAAGCAGATGAGATGTACAAAATTTGCTGTGTATTAGGGACCCCAACAAAAACCGAATGGCCTAATGGACTTGAACTTGCTAATAGCATTGGCTACCAATTCCCAAAGGTTGTTGGCGTACATAATAACCTTTCTGCACTTATACCTTCTGCCAGTGAGGATGCAATTAATCTCATTACCTCGCTTTGTTCATGGGATCCGTGCAAGAGGCCTACAGCTCTACAAGTCCTTCACCATCCTTTCTTTCAGAGTTGCTTCTATGTTCCGCCATCGCTACGCCATAAGGCTTCATTGGAACAGAAACCCAAGAACGCAGGTGTACAAAGAAAGTTGGAGACGAACTATCAAGATCCAAACAAGGCTGTTAAGCCCCTCGAGGACTTTGTGAAGCAACAACCGAAATACCAACCCCCCGCTATGCTATATGTTCCTCGATCAATTCCCAAGATATGCTTCCAGGAAGAAATTACTCGATCGAGGAAAGTGGCGGGATGAACGAAGAGATAACTACACTACACATACATAACGTTATCAAACTCTACCTTCTAGTTTGATTTTATTTACAATAATATATAATAATAATAATAATAATAATAATAATAATAATAATAATAATAAAGGAAATACGGTTCGGTTGAATTGTAAAGGAGGTATAACGACTTGGATTTACTTCTTGTTTATTATTATTATTATTATTATATTTTTAATTTTAAATAAAATTAAACGACATATATTTTCAATCAGTTTTTAACCGAATTCTTCGGTATGGACGTATGGTTAATTACTTTAATGTTCGGTATTGTTTAGTTCGGAAAAATCAAATCGAATTGCTCACACCTAAAGTTAATTATTGAAATGGTCTCTTGACTATAGAAAAATTACCAATTTAGTCTCAAGTTAACGAAAGTCTAACGGCAAAACTAACGGAGAACCAAATTGATTAAAAATTTTAAAGTTAAAGACTTAATTGGTCAAAAAAAATAGTCGAATACTAAATTTGTAATTTTACTATAGTCAAGGGACCATTTTGGTAATTAACTCTTTCAACAATTAACGAATATATTAAACTAAAACAATTAAATACCTCAAATTTATAAGATAAATAGCCCAAAGTCTCCGTTTAACAGATAAAAAAAATTTCTCTCTTTAGGGCTCTCTCCGTTTCGTTGGTTTCTTCCCATCCTTTTCCGGAACGTTGGAGTGGTAGGAAAAATATAATTAAAATTAAAATGAAATTAGGAAAATTTAAAGTAGTATCTTAAAATTTAAAAATTGCACTTAAATGAGTCTGGTCGTGAACAATTTTAAACGAACACTAAACGAGTATGTTTATGAACATTATTAAACGGATACTAACGAATGCGTTCACGAGCTGCGCTCTTAGCAAACGGACATACAGATGTTCAGACTATGTTCCTTTATTAAACGAGTTCTAAAATTTGCCTATTTTTGTTTGTTCACCTTAATACATGAACATAAACGAACACTTACCAAACATGAATACGAGTAGTTTATCAAAAACTTTATTCGGTAACACCCCTAACTAAAACAATTGAGTTTCATGACTATATCGATTCGATTCAAATTCGACTATATATATGTTCGAATATTCAAATCTCAAATTTGATTCGTATTCGATTGACTCGAATATTCGAATTCAAAATGCGTAACTTAATTATTTGTTTACACCCCTAAGGTTGGGGTTCAATCCTGTGACCTTCCCTCAATGGGAGTCACAGAGGTGCCATTTGAGCACAAAATACTTGGCATATCAATACTAGTTATTAAAACTTGCAATATGCGATTAAAAAAAACTCAATGATGAATAAAAATAATAGTGAAAATTATATAATCAAAATAAATGTAAAATTATATGATCTTATAAATATTATGAGAAAAAATTATAACAGATAATATAAATAATTAATAAGTTTTGTATAATTAAAAATTATATAAAATTAGAAATAATTTATAAATATACGTTAAAGTAAACACAATGTATAAGTTTTTATATTTAGCCGCATTATTTAATGATGTGAACAACTTAGGGAGAAAAAGAAAAAGAGGGACACATTTGGAAAGAATTTATGAGTGTCGAAAAAAAAAAAATATAATGAACAAGTTAACACTAAATTTATGGGATAAAAGCCTTTCAAATGAGCCGCAAGTATTGTAGTTGCGCACGTCAGTTACCTTTTTTAAATATTATTGCCTCAATGTATAAAATTTTTGCGATTTACTCATTTATTTATTTTGGGATAATAAGCCTTTCAAATGAGCTGCAAATATTGTACATGCGCATACATCCACTTTAATTACTTTTAACACTCTAATAGCTAGCCAAACATATTTTGCTCAAATGACATGTAGTGACTCTTTCAGATGGAAGGTTATGAGATTGAGCCTCACTGAAGTAATGTTAACTCTTTATGCATACTATAATGTAATAGAGTTGGTAGAATGACAAATTATTCGATAGACTTGGGTCCTCCTTGCAAGATGGAACCGTGTCTAAAAATACACAATTTACACACTGAATATTCACAATTTAAATTGTGAATATTCAGTATATAAATTGTGTATTTTGATCCGGATCCGCCTTGCAAGGTGGACCCGGGTCCATGGCATAAGTGCATAACTATTGCCTTTAAATACAAGTATACAACCAAGAATTATTCCAAGTAGAAAACAAAAGAAGAAGAAGAAGAAAAGATTATATTGAAAAGAAAGCAAAAATATAATGAAGGTGAATGTTAAGAGGTCTTACGTAGTTAAACCATCAGAGCCAACATGGAGTGGCCTTCTCTCCTTATCGGAGCTTGATCAGATCGCAACCATGATGCATGTTGAAACCCTCTATTTCTACTCTACTCCTTCCACATTATCCCCAGACGCCATTATCGATACCTTGCGACTCTCTCTCAGCCAAGTCCTGGTGCATTTTTACCCCTTGGCCGGTCGCCTGAGCTGGACTAGTGCCGGCGGCAGCTCAGCCCTCGTGCTTAACTGCAATGCCGCTGGCGTCGTCCTCGTAGAGGCGGAATCCGACGCCGTGTTGGCCGATCTCGGGGACTTCTCGCCCTGCCCCGAGTTAAACCACCTGGTTCCTAGCGTAGACTACAGCGGTGATCCTATCCAGGATATTCCCTTGTTCGTGGGGCAGCTCACTAAGTTCAGATGCGGAGGAATTAGCCTTGGGTTTGCGATATCTCACGTTGTGGCTGACGGACATGGTCTCTGCCATTTTCTGTCGGAGTGGGCTAATCTTGCCTCCGGGAAACCATTGAGCTCCGCCCCTTTTCATGACCGGAGGAGACTTCTCCGCGGGGTAGGAGAATCATCTTCTCCACAGGGAGGTCCTCGTCGGGTTTTCGATCATTCTCCTCCGCTTATCGTTGGCCAGTCCAGCGACGAAAGCGAGAGGATGAAGGAAACCAAAGTATCCACGCTGAGATTAAGTAAACCACAGATTCATGCACTAAAAGCTGCCGCCAACAATGGTCGGAGTTATAATGCCAAACCGCGAGACTATACCAGGTACGAGTAGGGGTGTATACGGATGGAATCCAGTCAAATATCATATTTTCTATTCCATTCAAATTTCACTATATATATATTGGAATTCATATTCTTATTGGATTTATTTGAATTCAGGTACGAGGTGATAACCGCCCACATATGGAGGTGCGCATGCAAAGCGCGAAGCCATAAACCCCAACAGCCCACGAATTTATGCTTCTCTGTCGATATCCGCAGGCGAATGGAGCCTCCATTGCCAGATTCGTATTTCGGTAATGCGGTCGTTGACGTGGTGATCCATGGCGGCGTCTCGGGGGAGATTATCTCCGGGCCACTACAAGACGTGGCTTCTAAAATACGTGAGGCAATCGATGGTGTAACCTCGGAGTACGTGAACTCTTCAATAGATTTTTATAGAAATGAAGTGGATGTGATTAAGAGGCAAGAATTATTAGGAGTCTTGTTTGGTGGGAATCCAAATCTGAGCGTTATAAGCTGGGTGGGTCTTCCGATTCAGGGACTCGATTTTGGGTGGGGGAAGAGATTCATATGAGCCCTGGAAATCATGACTGTGATGGGGACGTTTTGATCCTTCCAGGTCCAAACGGAATTGATGGGGACGATGGGTCATTGCTGGTTGCTGCATGTTTGCAAGTTGATCACATTCAAGATTTCAATAAATATTTCTATCAAGATATCAACAATTTGTGAAGGAGACGGTACAATAGTTATATATTGCACAATGCATTGTGCCCGGCCTAAAACAACTTCGTTTTTTTTATGTTAAGATTTTATGTGCATTATGTTAAGAATTTATGTGTATTATATTAAGAACTTATGTGTATTATGTATTATGTTAGATTATGTGTATTTTTTTTATGAGTTTGTGTATTCTACTATATAATTCTGTACATTCGAAATATGAGATTTTTTTTATATATATTTTTAAAAGTTAACGGCGGAAAACGAAATTTCTAAAAAAGAAACTGATACAAAACGACATCTTTTGGCCAGGGCATTGTGAACAAATCTAATTAAATCTTTGATCTGCAAGATCTAATGGATGAGAAATCAAGTAAAAAATGAGCGGGGTCATTTTCATATATATATATATATATATATATATATATATATATATATATATATATATATATATATATATATATATATATATATATATATATATATATATATATAATTAGGTTCTGGTGCGATTCTGCGGTTTAATCTGGGTCATTCATCTCGCTTAAATCAACGTTCAGGATTGTCAAAATTAAAAAAAAAACTCGGTGGCAAATTTGTAATTTTTGCATCTAGGTCAAAATTAAGGTGAGCGGATCTGTGATTAATGTGCGTGAGTTTTGTATATAAGTGCGTGAGGTTTGTGCGTAAGGTGCGTGAGTTTTGTGCTTAATGTGCGTGGGGTTGTGCTTAACGTGAGTAGTTGTTAAAACTTAAAGTGTGGAATTTTGTGCTTAAATGCGTGAGATTTGTTCTTAATGTGAGTGGAGTTTGTGCTTCATGTGCGTAGGGTTTGTGCTTAATGTGTGTGAAGTTAGTGATTAATGTCAATAGTTGTTGAAACTTAAGGTTTGTGAGTTAATACTTAAAGTGCGTGGGGTTTGTGCTTAATGTGCGTGAGGTTGTGCTTAATGTGCGTGAGTTTTGTACTTAATGTACGTGAGTTTGTGCTTAATGTCAGTAGTTGTTGAAACTTAAAGTCTGTGAGTTAATATTTAAAGTGCGTGGATTTTGTGCTTAATGTGCGTGAGATTGTGTTTAATGTATGTGTGTTTTGTACTTAATGTGCGTGAGTTTGTACTTAAGATCTAACACTTAAGGTGCGTGTTTCTATCACTTAAGGTGCGCCATTTCCAGTTTTGAGCATCTTTTTAAATTTTAGCTTTTGGAGTTACAAAAAACTGATTAACCAAACACTTATATTAATTTTTTAACCATGTAAAATAGTTAAAAAT